CCAGAAACTCTTCTTGCACATACTTTTCACCAATATACTTTTCACCCAGAGACTCTTCACCTAGAAACTTTTCTTGCACATATTTTTCGCCCATATACTTTCACCCAGAAACTCTTCTTGCACATACTTTTCACCCATATGCTTTTCACATCTTTTCACCCAGAGACTCTTCACCTAGAAACTCTTCGTGCACATACTTTTCACCAATATACTGTTCACATCTTTTCACCCAGAGACTCTTCACCCAGAAACTCTTCTTGCACAGACTTTTCACCCAGAGACTCTTCACCCAGAAACTCTTCTTGCTCAAACTTTTCACCCATATACTTTTCACCTAGAGACTCTTCACCCAGAAACTCTTCATAGTGGTCACACATCGAAACAGCAAGTTTTCCATTGCTTTTCCAATGTTTCACGCATGCTTGACGCCGTAAACTTTACCAATAATGGTCCCACATCGGAGCCTCAATTTTACTTGGCATCATGTTACCCTCTCCCTATTCTTTCCACCGTTTCCATTGCTTTCCTATTTTTTTTCCATTGTTTTATGTCAAAGTCCCTCCTTTTTTCCATTGTTGTTCTCATCATTTTCCCCTCCTTTCCCATTTTTTTCCCATTTTTGTCTGTCATATTCCCTCATTTTTTCTATTGTTTTTCTCATCATTTTCCCCTCCATTGCCAGCATCCCATCTACCCCTATTTTCCACCATACTTTTCACCCAGAGACTCTTCAATACATTTCACCCATATACTTTTCACCCAGAGATTCTTCACCCAGAAACTCTTCTTGCACAGACTTTTCACCCAGAGACTCTTCACCCAGAAACTCTTCTTGCACATACTTTTCACCCATATACTTTTTGCCCAGAGAATACTTTTCACCCAGAGACTCTTCACCTAGAAACTCTTCTTGCACATACTTTTCACCCAAATATTTTTCACCCAGAGACTCTGCACCCAGAAACCCTTCTTTGACATACTTTTCACCCATATACTTTTCACCCAGAGACTCTTCACCCAGAAACTCTTCTTGCACATACTTTTCACCCATATACTTTTCACCCAGAGATTCTTCTTGCACATACTTTTCACCCATATACTTTTCACCCAGAGACTCTTCACCCAGAAACTCTTCTTGCACATACATTTCACCCATATACTTTTCACCCAGAGACTCTTCACCCAGAAACTCTTCTTGCTCAAACTTTTCACCCATATACTTTTCACCTAGAGGCTCTTCACCCAGAAACTCTTACATATAATGGTCCCACATCGGAGCCTCAATTTTACTTTTCACCCATATACTTTTTACCCATATACTTTTCACCCAGAGACTCTTCTTGCACATACTTTTCACCGAGAGACTCTTCACCCAGAAACTCTTCTTGCACATACTTTTCACCAATATAGTTTTCACCCAGAGACTCTTCACCTAGAAACTTTTCTTGCACATAATTTTCACCCATATACTTTCACCCAGAAACTCTTCTTGCACATACTTTTCACCCATATAGTTTTCACATCTTTTCACCCAGAGACTCTTCACCTAGAAACTCTTCTTGCACATACACTTATACTTTTCACCCAGAGATTCTTCACCCAGAAACTCTTCTTGCACATACTTTTCACCCAGAAACTCTTCTTGCACATACTTTTCACCCATATACTTTTTACCCAGAGAATACTTTTCACCCAGAGACTCTTCATCTAGAAACTCTTCTTGCACATACTTTTCACCCATATACTTTTCACCCAGAGACTCTGCACCCAGAAACCCTTCTTGCACATACTTTTCACCCATATACTTTTCACCCAGAGACTCTTCACCCAGAAACCTTCATTTTTTTCCAGTGCTTTTCCATAGTTTTGCTCGACATCATTTTCCCGCCCAGATCCACCTCGGAGGGCGGACCAGGGGGGAATCGATACCCCAACGTCACCCAATTGCCACCTGGTACATAACCCTAAAAAAATTTACCTGCGTCCACCTTTTTTACCACCTATTTTCCGCATTTTTATCCCACTTCGGGCGCTCTGCCCCCAGACCCCCTTAACTCACTTTGTTCGCAAAAATAACTTCGCCTAGCCTAGCGGCTGGCTTTCGTGAAAAGACAAATACTGGGAGACGAACAGGGACACGAGCATCAAGACTGCCAAGCGCAAAAACAATGTGAAACACAAGACTGAAACAAACAATTATCAAAACCGAGTACGAATGAGTGCAAAGTACGTGCATCGTACGTCAGAAGCGAAGAACAACATCGGAGTAACAAACGAAACAACGCCAATAGAGGACATGTCAACTCCAAGAATATCAGGACAAGGAATGAACGCATCGATGACAAGTTCTGTTCTTTTGACAGTCCTGACAGCTAATGACAAGCGTAAAGCTCAACAACAATTATATAACTCTGTGATAGACACAAACATGATTGATCTGTGAATTCTATGACCAACTAGCCCCCAAAAGCCCCACAGCAAGAGAATTAAAAATAAAAAACATGTCACATGCATGGAACAAACATGGAACAGACATGGAACAGGACCATTGCATTACAACAGTCACAACAAGCCAAACATACCAAATACAAAGCCTGCCCTGAAACCACCCACTTTCCCCATCTTTTCTCTCCTCAGGTGCAACTGAGACAGGCGTCTTTGTGAGGACCTGAGGACCATGGTGCCAACAGGTACTTCTGGAATCCCCACGATGATCCTCCCATCTCTACCAAATTTGAACACTTTGGATAGTATCGGAATATATCTGATAGTGACTGATGGCACTGATAGTGATAGTGAATCAATCAATCGATCGCTTTGTTTTCAGAATGTGTATATAATTTTTGTACAGAAGTACATGGTATGTTTGTCTATCAACATTTTCCACTGACCTCCTCCCTACCACTCCACACCACCTCCACCCTCGAAAGCGCCTGTCCGGCGATGCTGGCTTCTCTGTTACTCAGGTGAACCTCAGTGCCATTGGCCTCAGCAACTGCTCGAGAGCGGCTCTTTTCCAACTGGCTCAAGATGCTCAAAATTTGGTTGTTCTGTTGTTCTGTTGTTCCATAACGATCCAAACTAATTTGGCAATCTGAAATCGCATCAATCGAGTCTCTTACTGTGCAAAAGATGTTTTGCTGGAAATTGGACCATGGTTTGTCACTGTTGGACACCAGAATCCAGCACTGGATCCAGGCATCACTAAGCCAGGCACAATGCCAAGCTGCGTCAGCAGCTGCGTTGCTTGTCCACTGATCACCTGAGTGCCTCAGAGCTGGTGACATGTGGTGACACCTTGTAGGACCTCTCAGAAATGCAGAAATAAAATGTCCAACAGGATATTATTAGTGATACTTTAAGCAAATAATTCAGATGAGGTAGATGTAGAATGATGCTAATATATGCCAATGCTGTCAGTGTCCGAAGTGGTTCAACCAGCACACACCCAAAGAGCACCTGCTCGGTCAAGCGAAAGTTGCTGACTCTCAGGCCTTAGTGGTGTGTTTCACCATCATTGCTTCAATTCTCATGATTTTCCCATGGTTTTCCCTCACATCAGCACCTCCCACCTTCGAGGCCCCAACTCAACGCCACAGCGGGCTTTCACCTCAGCCTGCAAATCCGCGAGCCTTGGCCAATCCCCGAACTGAATGGAGGTGTCAATGGGAAAATATGGAAAAAATATGGAAAAATCGTCTATAAATGGAGGTTTCTAGCATTTTCTAGCTGGCAAAATCTCTATAGATGAAGGTTTTCTAGCTGGGAAAATCAGTCATCATCGACTTGAGGCCCAAGGGGTGAACGAAAGCTAAAGGTCATATGAATGTGGAACTAGGTGAGTTGAACTTGGAAACATTCAGGGAAGGCCGGGGCAGACGACAGTGATCCATATGGAAGGATTCAAGATGGTTTCAAAGAAGAAGTGTAATTTTCAGTTTGCATTCCTATAACATGTGAAGCCAAGAACATGGGTGTTGGAAAAAGCTGGGGCCCTATCCAGAAGTGTTTTTGATTGGACCGAGGATCAAAGAATTCTATTGGGCCCATTGCCAAACTGTTAGAAGCTTGTGGTACCGGACAAATTTTGGGCCCCATCCAAACTTGCAATTTTTGATGAGACTCAAATCTACACAGTGTTGACGTGAGTCAGAAAGAACTATATCGAGCGTAATGTTCTGGTGAGGCATCTGCTGCAAGAGTGCCAGCCGAACAACATGCAATTTTCCGTTGCAAGTAGTAAAACATCAGAAGGAAAGAAGATGGTGACTCTGTAAAGTTTGGGCCCAATCCAAAGTTATAATTTTCGATGGGGCTCAAATCGACACAGTCTTGACCCCAGTCACAAAGAACTATATCGAGCCTAATGTCCTGGTGAGGCATCTTGCGCACCCGAACAACATGTAAGCTTCCGTTGCAAGTCGTAAAACATTTGAACCAAAGAAGATGGTGACTCTACAAAGGTTGGGCCCCATCCAAAATTATAATTTTCCATGGGGCTCAAATCTGGACAGTTTTGACTTGAGTCAGAAAGAACCGGATCGAGACTAATGTTCTGGTGAGGCAGCTTGCGCAAGATTGGAACAACATGCAATCTTTCTTCCGTTGCAAGTCGTAAAACATCTGAAGCAAAGAAGATGGTGACCGGACAAATTTTGGGCCCCATCCAAAATTATAATTTTCCACGGGGCTCAAATCTACACAGTCTTGACCTGAGTAAGAAAGAACGCTATGGAGCCCAATGTTGTGGTGAGGCATCTTGCGCATGCGAACAACATGTAAGCTTCCGTTGCAAGTCCGAAAACATCAGAACTAACGAAGATGGTGACTCTATAAAGTTTGGGTCGTAAAACATCTGAACCAAAGAAGATGGTGACTCTATAAAGTTTGGGCTTCATCCAAAAAATATAATTTTCGATGGGGCTCAAATCTACACAGTCTTGACCCGAGCCAGAAAGAACCTTATCGAGACTAATGTCCTGGTGAGGCATCTTGCGTACCCCAAACAACATGTAATTTTCCGTTGCAAGTCGTAAAACATCTGAAGCAAAGAAGATGGTGACTCTATAAAGTTTGGGCCCCAGCCAAAATTTTTAATTTTTGATGGGGCTCAAATCGACGCAGTGTTGACCTGAGTGAGAAAGAACACGATCGAGCCTAATGTTCTGGTGATGGACTTTTTGCGGAAGAGTTCCATCCCAACAAGAAGTAATCTTCCGTTGCAAGTCGTAAAACATCAGAACGAAAGAAGATGGTGACTCTATAAAGTTTGGGCCCCAGCCAAAATTATAATTTTCCACGGGGCTCAAATCTACACAGTCTTGACCTGAGTGAGAAAGAACGCTATGGAGCCCAATGTTGTGGTGAGGCATCTTGCGCATGCGAACAACATGTAAGCTTCCGTTGCAAGTCCGAAAACACCAGAACCAACGAAGATGGTGACTCTATAAAGTTTGGGTCGTAAAACATCTGAACCAAAGAAGATGGTGACTCTATAAAGTTTGGGCCCTATCCAAAATTATAATTTTCGATGGGGCTCAAATCTACACAGTCTTGACCCGAGTCAGAAAGAACCTTATCGAGACTAATGTTCTGGTGAGGCATCTGGCGCCAGAGTTCGAAAAATATGTAAGTTTCCGTTGCAAGTCGTACAACTTCTGAACTAAAGAAGATGGTGACTCTATAAAGTTTGGGCCCCAGCCAGAATTATAATTTTCATGGGGCTCAAATCGACACAGTGTTGACCTGAGTGAGAAAGAACTCGATCGAGCCTAATTTTCTTGGTGACGGACTTTTTGCAGAAGAGTCCCAACAACAAGTAATGTTCCACACTCTCACTCCTTTGGCACATATCACCACATATGACCAAAATGGAGATGGCAGGATCATCTCAGCGGTCTGGGCCATATTGGGGGCTGCAGTTCCAGTTGTAAGTCTCTATGTTTCCATGAAACAGCATGTAACTTGCATTTTACAGCAGGAAAAAGTCAGTTGACGGCAGTTCTGTTTGCAATGACCTTGCTTTACAATGACTAAAACGGCTTCGCAAGTCCCAAAGACAGACTGTCATGCCAATGCAGTTCGTGGTCAGTAAGTCGCCCCAATCATGGAAGAAACAGCATGTAACTTGCATTTTACAGCAGTAAAAAGTCAGTTGACGGCAGTTCTGTTTGCAATGACCTTGCTTTTCAATAAAACGGCTTCGCAAGTCCCAAAGACAGACTGTCATGCCAATGCAGTTAGTGGTCAGCAAGTCATCCCAATCATGGAATTATAACCCCATTATTTATAATCATAGAAGTAACTGGTAATAAACCATATATCATATAGTTGCCATAATTAGTGAATGACCTTTGCAGCTGACAGCTGCGGCACGTTTCGGCGGGCATCAACTGGACAGCGCATAAACTCAACAAATCCTGAGCTAGAGAGTTACAAAGGGACGGCCCTGGCAGGATTTGAGCCCAAGACCATCTGCTTCCGAGACTGCTTCAAAATGCCCCGGGAGCTTGGGTGGGTTCTCGTGAAAAATCACCGTGCTGGACTCAGACCTGCCCCTCCCCTTGCTGAAGCAAGAGTAACTCAGCTAGCTACCGCTAGCTTTCGTGATAAATGAATAAATTGAATAGATGATGGATTTCCCAGCAGCCATGTTTGATCACCGGAGGGTACTTGGCATCCCAACGTGGCAGTGTTGGGCAGCACGATGCGCGAACGACCCGCAGGAGATGTCAGCCGTACAGTGAGATCTCAGGCATACAACGGCAAAGTGGCTTTGGTGATGCTCAAGCCCCGAAGATTTCATCCTAGCCAAGACCTACCCCTGTGCTAAATCAAATAGAATAAACATGTCAAAACCCAATTCTCATTGGAAATTCTGCTATTGAAATGTGGAATTTTCCGTTGCCAGGTCAGGTTGCTGGAACAATATTTACATTGAATCTCACTGGAGCCCCGGACTTGACATCTGCCCAAGCCAGCCCCGATCAGCAAGCCTGAACTGCGTGGCAAAGGCCAAGATTTGGGATTTCATCTGGCTTTGAGATCCCAAGGCTTCAAAGGATTGATGGCTTCAAAGTGGGGTGAGAACGAAGCGCAAATTGATGCAAATTGAGCTAGTTGATGCTAGTTAGCCCATCGGGGACTGAAATGTTTCAGCATTGCGTTCGGCACCCAATTCGCTATTCTACCTCAACCCGACCGGCACCGGAGCCAAGCTACACACGCCTGCCCCCACGGACTTCGCCCACCCCGGGGTTGAAATGGCTGCGGACGGCGGAACCGCTCGAAATCTGCGTCCATATCATAGCCCTTCCACGCCCATTTAGGGTGTGCAACCTAACCTTGCCTCTACTCTATACCAAGTCGGTTTTTAAGCCGCATCCCAATGCAGAGTCCTCAACGAACAGATTGCTTGCGGTGTCTGGGCAGCATCTTACAAACCAACTCAGCACTTCAAACTTGGAAAGGAAAGGATGTATTCAGGGGTCCCAAACGCCTAGCTCACGATCAGAGCCAGTGACTCAAGAAAGGTAGACTATGTTCGGTTCCCCAGGCACGAGTGCCTGTTTTAAGGCCTGGCTATAGAATGTTTGTAGCAATTGTCTCGACGGCGAATCCCATTTACCAAATCATACTCACACTGAGATTATCATCTGCCAGGCTCCCTGGGGTTTGGGTATGGTCGAATTGGACACCAAAGCCTGAGAGTTTCTCTGCCGACATTTTGGAGCATAACCTCAAAGCAGCTGGCACTGGTGCCCCTAATGGCAGGCAACCAGCTCTGCAACCATGATTGCTGCTGCAGTTATGTGCAATACACATCCTCTTCAAGGAGTGCTATGTAGGGGCTGGTTGTTGATCCGGTGATCCGCCAAAGGTTGGGTTTCTATTCTATTCAGTTTGGAGATGTCTGGCGGATATCTGGGATTCCATAGATCACCAAGACATATCTGGCCGACAGGGTGCAACCGGCCTGATCACAGAGAGTCAACAATCGCCCAATGGTGAAAACTCTGTTGGCCAGCTTTGGCTTCGTGTGCTCGGGGGAAGGGATTGGCTTGCACAAGCTGTTTCCCTGACTTAAGAGAGTCTTTGGCTGCCGGTACTGAGACAATCATGTCTTTTTTGACATCCTTCCCCCTTGTCTAGAAGCCGGACTGCTGCTGTTGCAACACCAAAGCACTTGATATAAACGTCGCATCTCAACGCGGAAGTGACCTACAGCTGCGCTCTCAACTTCACTGATCCAAAGCAACATCTCCTGAGGAGCTTGTGCCCTCATCTCCCGCCATCGTCTGTGATGGCCTTCGGCGGCGGACGTTTCCGTGCGGCCAGCAAGGGTCTAGTTCTGGGCTGCACTGGATTGTCATTTTGGGATACTTCCGGAAGGTCCACAACTGGATTGGAATCGTGGAGGCCTACTTCAATTTTCCAAGCGCGCATTTTCTCAGGAATTCCAGTGATGTCCTTTTGATCAGTTGGGGCTCCAAGCCATTACTCCTGGAAATTGACCGGGCTCATCTGCAGACGTCTGCATGTTCTGCACCTCATCGGGTCATCTTCCAGCATCTTGGGGCCCAAAAACAGACAACGGCACCTGCTGTGAAACTTTTTAGGTTTGCCAATGGGAAGATTCCCCAAAATGCAAATTTTCATGTGGAAAATCATAATATATCATCATTTTCTGTTGCATTTGGGTGTGTTGAATCTTGAGACAACCACAACCCCATTGACATCTTTGCAATGCATCGACACATTGAGGTCGGCCTGCATCGGCGTGAAGCTCATTGGCATCCGTGCACCCATGGAATTCATGGCAGCATTCCTGGGCCGCTGGGAGCTGCTGGGCTCGCCATCGTGTGCAAATGCTACAGATTTTTGCCAGGGATTGTGAGCCTTCATCTGACCTTCATCTTCTATTTCTCTACATGTTTCATCATATTTCCGTACAGGATGCTTTGCTCTTTGACCTAGCAAAACCCACCGTTCAACCTTTACTTGTTAGAGTCACTTTGCATCATTCCACCCGGCCTGTAGGAAGCTGGATCATATCTCACGAATTCTCCAGTCTTGTTCACAATGGCACCTGCGTAGGGATGCATAGGGATGCATAGGGTCGATGGGATATGATGGGATGAGGATGTTGCACATGAAATTGTCTTTTACCAGCTAGTAGTGTCAGCCATGTGCTCCACCTTGTGGGCGTTGAGTCGGGATTTGGCTGCTCCTTAGCACGTCAAGCAGCTTGGAGATCATCCAATCGTACAGGGCCCTCGTGCCACGATCCCAAAACGAATTGATCATGGCCCTCGTGGCTATCGAAAACGAATTTGGATGATTTCGACCAACTCAACCTGGACTTTGTGCTTTTCAATGACCAGGGCAAAGAATAATGATACTGTATTGTAGAATGATAAATGAGATGTGTTGGTACTCAACAGCTGACATGCCAGTCAAGAAAAAGCTTCAATCATCTTCAATCAAAATAAATTTAAGGAACCATATTTCATGAATCTTGCGGAAAACCACCAAGTACCTGATTGGTTGATAGGAAAAATCCACTGATTTTTCCGCAAAATCCACTGAGTTTCCAGCCCCGGTGTCTGCGACTGTCGCGAATGCTCGCTGCGATGCGACCGGTGCGACATGTGCCCAGGATTGGGCACCGGCACCTGGGTGATGATCATATGGGGATGGGTCAAAACCAATAGTACCCCTTTTTTGTTCACATCAAAATAGCTGGGATTTATGGATGTGAATAACCCATTAAAAATGGTATTTTCATAGGTATTGATCCATAGCCATATACATTTCTCTAAGGTGTCGTGCCAGACTGTGGTTTGCTCAGCACTCGTGATTCAATTCTTTGCTAAGGCATATATGGAGATTCGCAATTTTGCTCTGGTTTGTGTCTACTTGCATCTCCGGAGCCAACCATCCAAACTCAATTTATCATAATTTATCCATATTTATCCAAGCCTTTCCTTACACTCAGTTCCACGGGCTTCCTACTTCGGCCATCTTCGGCCCACATTGGCACCTGCTGTGCCTGCAACGCTGCTTGCTCTCCAGCGTTGTCGTAGGTCATTTTGGAGACCTCAGAGCTTGGGAACGTGTGAAGCGTCGCCTTTGGTCCCAAGAGAATGCTCCAAATGATATGTTTGTAGAATTGGAAGGGTAATCTGCAACGCCAAACTGTGGGCTAGGTGCTTGGATTTCTTAATCGCAACAAGCCCGTTTTTTTAGGCAAGTGGAAAGGAGGGGTGTCCACCATTCTTTAAATCAAGTTGCTCTGTAGCTGGCGCCGTACTTTGCGGCATTCACTTGTGGCTGCGCATGACCTAACGCAAAGGTTCGCATACACACGCAGGGAATTGCATTCCCTTGCAAGCGAAGTTGCTGTAGTTCTGCCCCACTGCTCACTCTTGTTTTGAGTATCAATGGTGAAATTCTGACACGTCCATCACTGCATACTAGCGTATCTACAGCCACGCCACTCTTCGCTTGGCTGCGCATCCAAAACTGAAACTGTTTGCTGCGAAAATTCCAAACTGTCCATGATGTTTGAGAAAAATTTGACAAGAAAAAATGTTCTGCATATAGCTCAGAAAGACTCCCAGCACATCAAAATCATCGAAGCCCAATAAAGAACGGAGGCGGAGAGCTCCGATTCATGGGAGCTGCAGCTGAGAAAACTGATGAGTGATAGTGATGATGATGAGGAAATGCCAAGCGAACAACAACAACAACAACAACAACAACAACAACAAATAGAGAGAGAGAGAGCAGCAAAAGCCATGTAAGCCACGCATCCTGAATAGATCATTGTAGATATAATTGTAGATAACTGCCAGACCTTTTCAAGCATCATGGGAAAACCGTGAAACCACAAACCACATTGGAAGAGTGGGCCTGCTCCCTCGGCCCAGGCTGCACTACGCACTCCTGGCAGGTCATGCGGGGCCATTGGTTGCCGCCAGATCACATCAATCCTGGATATAGCTAGCCAAAGGTCATGGCTCAAATAGAGAAATACACAGCATCATACTTACAGTTGTGCTGATTGTTGAGCTTGGTTCATTCATGTGTGTATATATATATATTAATCTTACCATTCCATGTAAAGTATGTTCTGCACTGTGCCAAGACCATCATTCCCCCCAACCTTGCAAGATTCATTGCAGGCCATGCAAGAGGGTCACCCACCAGATCCCGCCTCCTTGACCCCCGCTGCTACTTTCTTGGGCGGCACGCTGCTTCTTGAACTTGCCCCCCGGCCTTGAAGTCGCAATCGCAGCATTCTTCATCGAGTAAATCAGCTATGGCCAAGCATGGAGGGTTGCCGACAATCACGGATCTTTGTCCAGTGTGAAAGCAAGAAATCTTCTGGGTCACCAACTGTAGAGCCGTGGTGTAGTGGTGATGCCAAGCTGCAAATTGCACACCTGGCAGCTGCCACTTGTCAATATGTTCCTGATCCACAAAATGCCACAAAAGGTCTTGAGTCTTTAGATGTTTTGAGGAGTGGTCAGATACCTCTCGCAACTTTGACGTTGAAAACTCTACTTTACCTCAGCAGCTGGTCAGCTGGTCCCATGAGCCAGCCTACAGTCATGCGCGCAGCAGGGATCCCAATCACCAGCAGGAAGAGCACAATCAGAACTGGCAGGAACAACTGGAGCCATTGAGCCATTTAACTCCGCGGTGCTGCAAAACTCATCTGGTCGTGGAACATGTGAAACCCCGGTTTCCGGCGGTTTCATTTTGTGTAGGTATGAGATGGTATGAGATTTGTGGAGTGTACACATCTCAAGTCACACCGTGACACACCAATCACACCGATGATCTTTTTGGATCCTGTCAACCCAAGTGTCAGCTCTATGAATCTTTCCCACCCTTCCACCAATGTCCAGTTTCCCAAGGTGAACTCAGGAGGTATAGGGGTATAGCTTTCAGGAAGCTTCCATCCCACAGTGCCACAGGCTGTGGCGAGCCTATAGAGAATGCCATCAAGCAATTTCGCAGGATTGGATAGGTGTCTCCACCCGTTGCCTGCAACTCGTCACATCAATGTCCGCCGGAAGTTTAGATCTGCTTGACATACCCGAAAAGTAGCTGTTGGTGGCTCTGGGTCAAATCCTGTTCAACATCTCCAACTTGGGTGTCCCAAACCAGAAGGCAAATCAAAGATTGGGCACGTTTGATGTCCTGTTTTTGGCCTTACCCTTCAGGGTTTCACAATGCTACAGACAGTTTCCCCGGGTCCCAGGTGTAGGTCGACGGTCCTCATCCATCCGAATGAAGATCATGAGCAACACACCTGAGTGGCTCCATACGAAACTGGACCAGTCCAAGATATGTTTGCTGGATTTTGCATCAAGGTTGAATTGGAAGAATGGGAATGACAAGCTATATCAATTTATCCAATTATCCGACCTCTCCCAGAGACGTTCCATAATGGTGGCCCAGCTGTTTGGGTGGGGTCACTGGCTTGGGTTTCCTCCACTAAACAGGATCATCGGAGGAATGCAGTTTTCTTCAGTGGCTAATATCATGCAAGACCCTTCCAGCAACTTCTGAAACGTTCTGATTTGCAAGCTAAGATTGTGGCCAACCAGGATAATGTGAAGCAAAAAGCAGAAGTTGAGCACATAGGAGAGGAACTGCGCAAAAATGCAAACAAGCACGGTGCGAACCAGGACCTTCCCTGAAGGGTTCACAGACTTCGATATACTTAGATCATTTTACATTTTACAAAGGTCTTGCATCATTTGGAACTAGTGGTATTAAGTGGTACTATTCCTTCTACACACTTCTAACTCATAACAACTCACCAAGTGTCGAAGGCTTAGACTCCACCCTCCCAAAATCTGTGAGTTTCAGCTTGGATTAATCACTAAAGGCCCACATAGTGGGGTGTTTTTTGGACTTCTAACTCGCAGACTCAGCTTTTGAGAGCAGGTGCCCCGAAAAAATGCAAAACGACAAAGACTGGTGGATCAAATGGCCTGCGCTCTCTGCTGCGTTTTTCGCTGGAACCTCGTCATTTCTTCAAGTGTCCTGCGTCAAGGCAACTGGCGCTGGCCTCCAATATCCTCCAAGTGGTTGCTACTGCGGGAAACCGAAACCTAAATTCATAGTCATAGTCTAAGTTTGGAATAAACAGATCAGTCCTAAAATATGTAAAATAAATGAGAAACACTGGCCGGAGTGGTCGGGGTCTGAGTCGGCAACCAAAAGGGCTGAGTCTCGGGTTTTCTCCGTTGCTGACTCGCTCGTCTTTAGTTGCTGACTCGTAGTTGCTGGTTTAGTTGCTGACTCGGTTAATGTTCCACTGGCCGGGTATTGCCCTAACCACTAGCTCGCAAGCTTCAAGAACACAAGACAACTGCAATCACTGACCCAAAGAAACCCAAGCAACATTTGTCCTGAAGAACATGACGAACTCGTGAATGTCAATGGTCCCGTTCATATTCTGCCAGCATAGCACGTTCGATCCCAACACAGGTCACTTCATCGCTGTAAGATCTCGCAAGTCTCACACAATTCATTGATTTTTGCTGCTTGTCTTGTTCTCAACAGTAAAGCCTCACTTCATCTCGCTTCTCTGCGACGGCCAAGGAAGTGACAGTTTCTTGTAATTATTAGGTTGTGCTGAAACTACTGAAAAGGCATGAAAAGAACCTGGCCAAAATATTGATCCTCGGTTTCAAACAGAGTCAACATCTGACTTTGTGAAGCAATTGATCCATACGAATGGAGACATTTTCGGATTATCTTCAACTAATTGAAGAATGTCAAAGATGATGAAAGGACTCATCATGCCGCGCAGCTCGCGTCCCTGTACTGCCAAGCATGTCATACTGTTTCTGGCACCTTGTCAATTTCCTGCATCACTGTGGCAGCCGCAGCCTGTAGGGTTCAGCGGGTTTCAAGCACTTGTGAGTCGCTAGATGTTGATTCTGAATCAAAGTGCAATCAGTTTGTAATCAAGGTGCTATTTATCAATGAATTTAGGATATTTATTTCGAAGATATCGAAACTTGTTGACAAAATGCAGCGATGTCTCTATGAGTTGTCGCAGCATCTCTTCGCGATTCTGGCCTCTGAAGCGTTGAGACCGCAAAGCTTCAGTGCTTCACACAGCTCAACTGGCAAAACACCGGAGGGTGCCGCGGCGATTGGCGACTGGATGGGATTGGATTTTGTCAGTTGGCGCCAATGAGGATTTCTTTCCCTTTCTCCATTTCTTTATGTCTTCTTGAAATTGTGAGGTCCCAGGCATAAAAACAATGAAAAACCTACCAAGAATGAAGCATACAATAGAACCTTTAGCCTGACACGGACGACAGAACTAATAAGGACAGAACTTGAGAGAACTGCGACTTCTGGCAGGTCTCTCCCAAGTGAATCGCACTCAAATGATGCTGTGGTGGCCACATACAGTTGAACCATCCATGTATCATCAGAGTCACCAAAAGAATTCCCAGTAACTCCATCTTCCTGCCTAGCGTCACAGAGCCGCTGCCGTCTTCATCGATTTCTTGATATGCTGCCTGTCGCAGGCTCCGGCCAAGGGCTGCACCAAAGACAGCTTTGAATCAATGCCAATCCAATCAACAGCCAGTCTAATCGCCAACAACTTTGGATGATCAACTTGTTGATACAACAACAATAAATAAGCTACTATGTAGAAAATCCAAATCTAAATCCAAAATCCAAATCCACCAACACTCACACAAAGAGTGTACAAATAATCATGGAGTTGTGGTGTACCACACGTGGTGAAGTTTGGCACTGATCCCACTGATCCAGGAACCTGTAGCAGTTCCATGGGCAATTCTGCTTCCCCGTTGTCTTCATTCTCCTTTTCGTGCAGCTGGCCAAATCCAATGTGTCCATAATTATATATATATAATTTGTCTCTATATATATATATATTTCAATCACAAAGCAGAGACAAGCAAATGCTGGTGCAATCTTCTCTTATTTCTCCCGACTGCCGCCACTGATTAGCTGGAAACATGTTGGATCAATTTTGCTATACAACTGCGCTGGACCGGAGCCACCCCCTGATTAGCAAAACGGATCAAATTTGGGGCATAAGGTCCGAGTCCACACTCAAAGTCTTCCTGTGTCGGACAGGAGCCAGGCCAAGACACCAATTTGGGGGTCCCCAACTGCTTCACACAGCATCTCCTGTGTCCAGAAGATCACTTTCTGTAGCATGACCTGGCTGGCGGTCCCTTCAACATGACTGATTGTAAGCTCCGTCCTTTGAACCTCAAAATGTTCGAGGAGGTTGCAACCAATCAGAAGCATCGCTTACCTTCCATTAGCCCACGACGACTCAAACATCCCCTATGATCCCTGCTGATTGTGAGCAAATTACAGATCTTGCTTAGAAGCATAGTAGTGCCTTGTCCTGTCTGACAGGACTCGGCAACTCCCGATTTCCAAGAACATGTGACATGTAAGGATGTGGACAAGATCCTTTAAGCACATGCTACCAATCTCTGAGTCATTCGGCCAGGCATGCAGTTCTGGGCTCAGCTCAAGTGCTTCGATTATTGCTGCATACTATATGTACATATTATACGTATCATGTACACATCACGACATGTATATTGATTCATACATATACAATATTTAATCATACAATATCATACATATACAGCAATCATATAGCAATTGCCTTTCGGGCGTTCACTGCTTCCGCGGTTCTCAGCTCCAGGCAGGTATTCTTTTGATCACTGGTCTTGAAGATCCTCCCCTGGGCGTGCGGAGGTCGTCCGACTCATATCATCGTCATTCGATTGCACGTAGAGAGTATGTAGCTTTCATTCACACTAGAATTCTGTCACTTTTCTCTTCTTTGTCTTGCCGATTTACCAATGACTCTCTGTCTGCCCTAAGGCACAACTATACCATGGATATTATATGGATACTATGTTTGAATACTATGTTTGAATACTATGTTTGAATACTATGTTTGAATACTATGGTTTCACTCATGGCGACATGTTTGCTCATCGTCACAGCCCAGGGCTCCACACGTCTCCTCAGATTCTCTCCTTCGCCTGGAATGAGCGAATGTGGAGGACCCGCTGGTTAGCATGATCTACACATAGTATGAATATCTACACAAGGCTTCGCTGGATTCGGTGAAATCCAGCTCATGAACGAACATTCCAGAACTTGAGGTGGAGAGCCCGATCCATATTTGATTTTGTGGCTTTCGGCAGCTTTAAGCGAACCAGGTCGCTCACCAAACGCCCTGCCCCCACAGTCCTTTGCACATTTTCTTCCAAAATGGCCGCCATTTCCTTCTCTCTCGCTGTCGATTCCTGTCCGTTCACAGGGCCCTATTTGGTGCAGGCACCATGCGTCATGAACAAATCCCCAGCCAAAGCCCAAGCCCCGGAGCCACAGCCCACACCGCACCTGAAGGTTGGCCATCCTCGCTCTTCGGACTTCTTCAAGCCCATCTTGGTGCACAGTTCTTGGCATCTGTCGTTCCTCTAGAAGGGGACCTTTTTCTGTTGATGAATCCACGTGTCAAGCGGCCCGCAAAATGATAATGCCAAAGAGACTTTACAGTCTTTTCACCATCGAGACTCAAACTGCACCCGATCAAGGCCCGTGAAACTTCCCCGTCCAACAAGACTTAGCATCCCAACCGGGTGGTGGTGGCATAGCCTGGCAGTAGAGGCAGCTGATCATGCCCCAACTAAAGGAGTGAACGGGAAGTATGACAACGATTGTGGGTTGAAATTCTCCCAATATATCTGTCAAGAACAGAGCTGAGAGATGCTGAGAGTGTACTGTACATGGTCGACGTCATCGTGATGATGGTGATGATGGCGGTCTAAGTAGTGGAGGGTGAACACATCCAGGCAGGGTGCCCAGGCAGGGTGCATTTTCTGACCTGCTCCTTGCTCTCCATGAACAATAGATATATGGCCCATGATGATACAATAAAACAAAATCTCATCAGTTTTGTTGCTGGTAAATGTTCGAAAAAAATATGCTATCAACTGCTTCCCTCACCTTCGCCGCAGCGTAAAAGGCAGCCGCCACTCCGAGGCCTGACGTCACCTGAGGCTCAAAGCTGCGACAGCGAACGTCATATGATCAGTTGATATCAGTTGGCTATATTGCGCTTCGCTGAAGCTGGCGCTCTCCCTATCAAAACCAATGGTGAAAAGAGACGAAAGAGACTTGGCAAGCTGCAAATGCTTAAGGAAGACCCATCCAACCGCGCGTTTCAACAGGATGCTGCCCCGTTTGCTGCCGGCTTTGAGTGCAACTGCCAGCTTGGGCTTCCCCGCAATGGAGCCTCCCAGCAGCAGAAAGCCCCAGCCACCTAACCCTGTAGTGCTCGTCATAACACCTGCCATCACATCAGAAACGAAAGTATCACAACAAACTTGAGGCCAAGGGGTAAGCCGGGTAAGCGACGAAAGCTGTGAAGGTAAAGGGAGGAAGGTGTGGTGAAAGAGCAGCGGTGCGAGGAATCGGGAGATACGAAGTGGAGAGTAAGTCTGATGATGCTAATGATCCTGATTGCGACGATGTGGCGACGATGTGGCGACGATGTCCCAGTGGCGGATTGAGCCACGGCAAAACTGCTTTCAAAAACTCCAGGTGGAGGGAAGGGAAGCACTCAACTGTGAAGTTTCATGTGACCGGCGATTCCAGCCACTGCACATGCCTTGCTAAAGCAAGAGGGACTTCCGCTAGCAAAAGCTAGCTTTGGTGACATGTCGGAACCTGTCTGCAACGAAGAGTTCATCGCCTTATCAACTTTATCATTCATCAGTGGCCAATAAACAGCGGTGCTTCCAAAGAGTTACATCCTACCATTCTGGATCAACGTCCAAAAAGCGGGTGACTTGCACCTAGCACTGCAGCACTAAATGCAAAGAGCACCGCCTCAGAGGAAAAGTCATCACATCATCACAAGCCAAGAACATGTTGCCAGGTTAACAGTTAGCTTCATGATCTTCATGTCAGTGAGGCCACAATTTTGCTGAAGTTCAGGCCCAGTTCAGTCGCATCCATCCAGCTGGACCAGGGCGCCACACGATGACTCCACAGCCAACTGCAACTAGCAGCAGCAGAGGAGAAAATCTCCGAGCCAGGACGATCATAGCAGCCTCGCAGTGCACGTCGATGAAAGGCCAGTGACTAGAGAGAGATATCAGAAAGGCTTCTGATCTGGCGCTGTTGAAAATTAATGCAAACATTGCACTGCCAAATTGGAGCACTTTTGGTCTTTTGGTATCCATATTTTTTCTTTCCACCACATTGACCAACCAGATGCTGTTGCAGATTCCTGAGGACACGGACGAAAAAACTGTTGAACATGGCTTCCAAGATGACACATGCACGAGCAATTGTCACCTGCCCGCTGGAAACTTGCTGCGCTTGGAATGGTTTGACGGTCAACTGGTACTCCAACCCACCACTTTGAAAACTGGATGAGTTGAACGCAAGACTACCAATGAAGCCCTACTCACGCTCAGGTCCTGCATTTCAGAAATGTCAGGGATGTTCACTTCGATATGAAACATGGAGGGAACTTCAAACTGAGCTACAACAAGTTGCCATCAGGCTTTCAGGCTTCACTGTGTGCACCTTGGACATTGCTTTTAGATTTGAGAAGTCTTCAGGGGAACAAAATCTGGGACAATCCGAAATTCTAGTGGAACGCAATCATTTATCGGACTTGGGGTGGGATGAACTTCCTCCACGCTTTAGGATGGACAATCTTCTCCAAACACCCCACCACACTTGCCTCTGTGCAGTAGGGCACAGTGGCAAGAGTAAGCTCCTTGGTGCGCTGCAAACTGGTCATAACTCAGTACTTTGTCAAGAGCAATTGCATGGGGGCTGACCATACTTCGCTGGTGAGACAATGAAAAGAAATCGTCGATGTTACCTGTTCACAGATGTGAGTGACGTGATGTGATCCAAGAAAAGAAACTGTCTTGTATGTTTTGCTAAGCTTGGGGCAGCTTGCGCACAAGTGTCATCCCAGCTGGTGCGCAAGTTGTAAATCTGGCCAAGGTCGACATTTTTTTCCGCAAACGCTCTCAAAATCACTGCGTACAATGGAACAAAATACAGTCCGCAAACTCTCTTCTTCTTCTTCTTCTTCCTCTTCTTCTTTTTTTTCTTCTTCTTCTCTTCTTTTTCTTCTTCTTCTTCTTCTTCTTCATAATTGACATGAAATGAGATACAACCACCACTCGTCAGGTGTACAATTATGCGTAACAATCTTCTAAATCATTCACAAGAACCATCCCATAGCACCCAAAATCGATGCAGAGCTGCACAACTCAACCTAATTCTATCAAGGCAGGTTCAGGATTTGAAGGGAATCCAAACAAGTTACTGTACTGGCTCGAGCTGTGGTTGTGCCATGAGTTCCCCAGCAAGTCGTGCCTGTCCATCGATGGAACCTTCCTGCGGAGCTAGTTGGAGCTCCAGATTGAACTCCCACCTGTGGTGAAAGGATGGCTCTTAGATGGCCGGGATGTCAACAGGTCGCTGACAGATCAAAGTCACATAAATCAGGGTAGTTCCTGGTAGATTCGGTAAATTCATGTAAGTTCTACACAAAAACTCCATGGCATTCAGTGAGTTCAACTGCTCCAATGCCGAGCGGCAGAGACACCGAGGCAGCCAAGGTGGTCTCAGTGCCATCCAGGCCCACCTGGTTGAGATTTCTCGGGAGACGTGGAAACCAATGGTTTCCCTCAGAAAAATGATCTACAAATGATGGGTGTTTCACATCTGGGTTAGTCTATAGAAAAATGGTAACAGGTTTAAAAATGTTTAAAATTTAACGAACACTTTCTTTTCAACCGCTTCCAGAAAGCTGAGTCGACAGCATTCAGCAGTTCGCTGGATTGAGTGCCAGTCCTTACATCCAGCAGATCCTCCATGTGCAACTCATCCCACATTGAGGACATTCCGAGCTGAGCATGCCACCACCATTCCAATGAGACAGCGAAGATCGCCAGTATGGCTGAAGCAAAGGCCTGGAGTGGGAAACTTATTGGAAACCTGTTGGAAAGCAGTTTTTTTAAGCTGCCGGAAAGGGAAGATTTAACCACCAAGTGATGGGGATTCAACATGATGTACCCAACTAACCACCAAAGTGATGGGGATTCGAACCATCACAAAATGTGTTTTTTCGTTGAACAACAGGGACACCAAAGCGTCAAAGCAAGGATACAATCATGAAGCCTCCGCCAATGTGACAAGAAATGGGGACACATGTCCCACCAAATGCTCTCAAAGTTGATAAGCATGTAGCCAGAATACATTTGTTTCTGAGTCGATGGAGACGCTTGAGTTTGGACATTGACATGCACAAAATCATCCAAGATCAGAATGATCAAAACCAAAACCAACCCTGCAATGTTCAGACAAAATGAATTTGCATGCAGTGCACCAAGAAGGCTCCAGTAAAGCTGGCGTACTTGATGACCTGCAGCTCATGGCACCAGGAATCATTCACATTCCAGTGCTCTGCAGAATGCCAAGGCATTGCTAGATACTGCGTGAGATGTGCTGCATCCATAGATTTCCATCCCTTCATGTTGATCCTGTCCAAATTTGGTGACATCAACAACAGCGCCAACATGCGCCAACTGGCTCCAGTCACACGAATCATATCCATACTGAGCCGAATCTGCCCAAACACCTGGGGGAATGCTACAAATGATGAATGACTAGGAAAGCTTGGATCGTTTGGGATATACCATCTGTAGCAGTCTGTAGCGACCATCACACCGGAATTTCCATCTTTCAGCAGTTCTGAGGAAATGGCGACTGCGGTTTCCTCATCCTCGTCGTCTTTGGACTTCGGTGCCATTCCGCGTTACCTGTCGCAGCCCAGCTCTGGGGGCGCCGTGAGGAATCTGGTATCCCGAGCACTAAGACTAGCTGGGCTTGATCCATTGGGGTAGTGAACCCAATTTTCAAATTCATCCCCAAAATACAATCTATCTATTTCATCATGGCAACTAGGGAGGACTGATGTTTTCGGCCTTCAGAGTCAGATATCTCAAAGACTAAGATGTAAACCCCATGTTTCCCATCATTCGAAGACATGTTTTAGCTCAAGATGAATAAGATGAGGGCCCACTTTTTTGGACCTGGGTGGTCTCACAATTGTATCATCATGCAGTGAACACCTGGCTGATCTGCGCCTGTGTCGCTTTGATCAAACGGAGGAGATCACACTGACTGCGGTTTAACCGGCTGCCAAAGCTTGGTTGTTGCAAATGATTGCTCGATAAAAATGGATCAAATCTAGAGAATGGGCATGGCACAGCAGTGAAATCGCTGTGGTTTCTTACTGGCACTGACATCTTTCAAAACTCTCGCGCCGTCGGCGGCCCAAGTCCTTCAAAGGAGCGGACCAAAGCCGAAGTCTGCGGGATCACATGAAACATCGATGGAATCCCCAACTCTGCCGATGGTAAATTAAGCGGAAATAAATGTCCTGCAAGGTCATGCTTTGTCACAGTGAGTGTTGGCATTCAGTTTGGAAAACAATATTCTGGCATTTCAACTTCCTCTGGAGGGAACAGCATTCAAACAAAAACACAATGCTCGGCTGCGATTTATTCTGTGGTTGCGGAGACCCGACAATGTCTCGCCTTTTTGCTACTCAGGCATGTAGTCAAGGCACTCTTGAATTGCGATATGGCACTGCAAGGTTGAGCGCTTGGGATTTAGACTCTCTGGGGTCCATTCAAATGAGCACGCAATGCCATATACGTAAAATTCCGAATTAGATTTTGCAAACTCTGGAAGAAGTTCCCTTGAGCATTTTGGTAGCTTGACCACACCTTTTTCTGGATTCTGCTTTTTTCGAGAACTTCAGCCGAATAAAAAAGCGCAACGGTGCCAAACACACCATCCTAGTGGCCTTCGAACTGGCCTCTTTGTGCATCCATTCATCGGATTGAATTCCCACTATGCAGAAGTCATCCAACCTGGCACGGGAGGATCATGCCACCATGATCCACAAAAATGTAACATGAGCCAAATGAAACCCGTGAGGTTCATCATGAAGACAAGGTTGAATTTGAACCATATGTTTTCTTTGTGGATGAATGGAGGGGCCTTGATCCATCCGAACTCACAGTCCAAACAGCAGCAGGTCCTACTTTCCCTTGTGACAGCCGCACAGCAAGGACACAGCAAGAGGAAACCACAGGGTTATGTTTGAGACTTTTCCTCTATATTGGCTATAGGCTATAGGGGACTGTTCTGACCAGGTGAGGCAACTTTGTGGCATCGTTTTGGGACGTTCCGACCTCATGACCCAATCAAACATGCCAGGTCTGGCAAGTGTCCGTCTCATCATCTACCTGTCCCATGACAGGTCATGTGGCAAAAGATTAGCGCCAGTGTTGTGGAATTTTGAGAGTCGTTTTTTGCTCTACGCTTTGCCTTCTTGCGATTTTTGCGACGTCAAGAAAGGCAACTTTTCGCAGTGGGTGAGGCGCTTTTGAATCCGCTCCGTGCGAACAGCTGTTCCTGAATTCTTTGGACGCAGTTGAACGGCGTTCAAAGAATTCAGGAACTTGTACTCCAAAACAAAGCTCCTTCAGTTCCCGCAACAATTCCACATGACAAAAGGATCCCACTCCTCTCGAGTAGCGATGCACAGAGCATCACCCATTGAAACGCTGTTGCTTCGCTCATCTTCTCAACCGCTCGGAGGCGATCAGTGACATCCAGAAATGTCCAGAAGATTCGCCCTTAAGGCCCTTAAGTAAAGAGTAATTAGAAAAGAAAACACCTCCTTTAGCTTCGTATCATTGACGCTTCCATTCCACAGGTTCCCATAGCTGCCATGGCTGGTAGAGCTTCCACCTGCGGCAGCCGTGGCAGCACTTTTGGCGTAGCATCTTGGAACATAATCTCCAAGCGCTTCTCGTTCTCTCCATGGAACGTTGGCACTTCCATGGAATGCCCGTGTGTAGGTATGGAGGCAAAGGACACGGAGCTGCAGAAACTCATGGTACCGCAAGACGGAGGAACACCAGAGGGATGAAAGTCCAGCTGCACGAGTGCCAGCCCTTGATGTCTGCGAAGTCCACGACGATGGTTCATGGAGAGTTTACTGTCGTGGCAAACTGCAAAAACCATCGTGACCCTTTCGATGACTGAATATACTCAATTTCAAAGTGTTGCTTCGCACCCAAATGTGCTTCAAAAAGATGTGAAAAGTGCTGTTTGTGCCTAGCCTCCAAGGCACTCCAATAACAACTCACTCAAATGCGAATCACTTGCAGGCAGCAGCATGGCCACGGCACATACGTGCTTGAAGAGAATCATGTAGACTCCGCGGTTTCATGCTGTCAAATATGTCAAATATGTCATGCACACGCGATGTCAAATGCTGCACTCACTAAACAGAAAATGATGCATCGAACTCCTGAGTACTGGGATGGAATTGCACAGCCTAGTGATGTTCGTAAACCTCACATACTGTTTCAAAATCAGACGTTGCTTCCAAAGAACCACCCTTCTGAGTACAGTATTTAAGGTCAATCTTAATGAGCCAGCTGATTTTCGGGGCTGAAATCAGCCCCAAACGCCTTGTCGTCCAGCATAGCTCGTCGGTCCTGCAGAAAGGCTTCCTTGTCCCTTGTTGATTCTTTATTTTTCATGGTTCAGTTCAATTGCCCAATAATATCCCAGCTTTAATGACATCAATAGTCACTTCTTGGAGAAAGAATTAAGTGGACATCAATTGGGTCTGCCACGTGCAGGCCTTCTCAAGATTGCAGATTGTTGAAGGAAATGAAACGTAAAATTGCTGAGAGCAAGACTACCAGACTTTGGTGCCCGAAGTCTGCTGGATGTTTCCTCTGGTCCATCTATTTCCATTATTCAGCAATACTCACTGCAAACTCCTTCAGCCGTTTGAGCACCAAGTTGTCAGCTGCGAAACCTGGATGAATTCTGCTTTGATGGATGGGTCAAGATCCTAGTGTCCCAACCAGACCAGGTTCTATTACACATGCGTCTATCGAAGTTCGGGATCTTCAACTTCTACCAGTTCTACCAATATCCATCTGTTCTGCAGATGTCCCATAGAGTCATAGAGCATGCCGTAGTCCAAGTTTCTTCAATTTCAGCAGTTAGTTGTGTCACAAGCTCAGCACGTGCCAGGCCTGCGGTGGAAGCGTTCTTCGTAGGACCGATGTTCTCCTGTCGTGGATTCGTCCAGCATGGGATTTTTTCGGAACATCGGAGTTGAACAATGGAAAAACCTGCGCCAAAGATGTGTTTATTCAGTCGGCATCTTTCCAAAGGGATGATCCCAACACTTCTTGACGCTCCGACAAAGGCGCCTTCCCCATGTGGCTCTTTTGTGGTCCGCCAGTCGCCTGAAGTAGATAGAAATATGTCGATGACATGCGCTAAATTCAAGGACCTTGCTGCTGAAACATGCGAAACCTAAAGCTGGTTGACTTCTCACCTTCCGAAGACATGTGCGCTGCTTCTGAAGCAACTCCTGTGCACGGTCAGGATCAAGCTTTGTGTACGAGATCTGGTGCCACGGTAATGGACTCTGAAATATGTTGGAGATTTTTGGAGGGAATCCAATGCTCTTCATACCCTTCACTATTGCGTAAAGTCTGAGGCTGACAATCTAGTTCACTAGTTCAGAAACCTGGGAAAAACTTCTGCCAATAAAGCGAGGCGAATAATTAATAGCGCAAACGAGTTTAGATCAGCATAATGCTGGAGGTACCCCAAGTAGCATGCCCCCAAGACTTGGGAACCTCTCGCAGGTCTCACTTTTTGACACACATTGAATATCAATGAATGATTGTGCGCGAAAAATCGCACAAAAGTTTGCAAACACCAAAACCTGTCAAAGAAATAAATCCAGAGGTAGCAACTTGGTATATTCTGATTGCATGTTGCGGGATAATCAGTGCCCATCTACTCAATCAATCGCAACTCGTGTTTGAAGGGACAACGCTGGTGCAACGCTGATGCCTGTGTGATTTTGGAAGATCAAACAAATGGACAATGGAAGAGGTAAATCTTCACAAAACATAGACTTTCACAAATCTTCACCACAGAATACAGATACCAAAACTTCAAGCAATGGGATTCTAGAGTCCTAGAGACAAAAAGAAAACTTCTGTTGATATTCCACTATGGCCCAGCCCGACAAACCAACGCCGCTTCGGAGAGTCTCCGCATGAATGGCAGGCCGCTCTGCCTTCAGAAGCCGAGGTTTGAAAGGTCAGCGGCCAATAGGCTCTGAAGATCTCTGAAGTCTCTAAAGGATTCTAAAGGTTCCAATTGAGGGACCCTTCACCTGCAACCCCGGTGCCTTTGAATTGGCAGCTGCATGGTGATTGATCTGATGGAGAGGCCTTGAGTGACAGGAAGAGCTTGGAGAAAACGATTTCCACTTCCCACTTGGTAGAAACCCTCTCCTCAAAGCCCGATTTGCTAAGCATCTGAGTCTGAAGATTAAGATAAGTGGAAACAGAATTAGATTCCGAATTCTCAGGATCCAGTAAAACACCCGGACGGCAATGTATCTACACTGTATCTACACAAGAAAGTCAAGCTGGTCTCCCAGTTCTCCCACGGCGACGGCCCAATCAGCTGCGCAGGTCTTTTCCAAATCGATTCACGCCTCGGCAGGAGCTGCGTAGCCCGAGTACACCGACCTCCACTACTGCATCTACATATTTAAATATATTTAATATGATTTGATAATTTGATAATATTCTGTATTTAATTTGGTGGGTTGAAACGTTAAACATGCTTTTAAACTCTAGTCATCATCCATTTCTTCTATTTCGATCTATGTATTTTAGACTAGATCTAGCCCATTCCCATCCCATCATCCCATCATCCCATCGGCACCTGCAACTTTGGCAGGGCCAGGAGCCAGCTGTAGATCTCCGCACTTCGCGAGGCCGTGATGCCGCTGCTGTGCCCACGCACCGAGCCCGTGAAGCCCTGAGGCCCGGGGAATGGCAGATGTTCATAGGCTACATGACTCAAACATCATCATATTAGATGAATTTATATGAATTTATATGAATTTATATGTATGATATGGATCATTCATCGGTGGATGTGGATGATTTGGGGGGTGCCCGATTTTCAGAGAAATTCACCCGCTTTCTGAAGGGTCTGATTGAACCTGTGTTGCTGATGCTGCTGGAAATTCTTCAACGATGTGAAGTCATAACTGGTCGTAATGTGTTTAAAAACTTATGAAAATTCACGCTACAGTCGCTGGTGCAAGCGACAACTGAAACTCAACCGTGAAAGTTGTGGTTCACTTGAGTCTGCGTTTGAAAGCGTGCTCTTGGATGTGTACGTTCCCAAGCAAACGATTGAAATTGGACGGTTCACCACACTGCAATGATGAGACTCTATGGGTTTCAGCAGCACCTCCTGATCTTTGTCAAAGCGGGAATAGCGCACCACATCCCCTGAGGCTTCAACGGCATCATTTTTCCCGATGGCTTCTGGATCATTCAATTCAGTCTTGCCGTGTGCATGTCTGTTCCTCCAGCTATGGCCACAAACTATCAGAATGATTGCAAGCAGGACCCTAGTCCTTTTCCCTGAGCAGCAATGGAAGCGTGGTGGCTAGACCAGCCGACTGAAACAGTTGACCACTGGACAAGCCAAACAATGACTGGGCAAATTTTGGAAACCAGTGCATGTCAAAGAGTAGGCACAGTTCTGGCGTTAAAGTTCAAACCCGTATGTCAGGTAAGCTCTGCATGTTAACCGCAAAATGTGCTTCGCTTGGCGTTGCCAGAATGTCGCCTGAAGATGTTGCAAATGCTTAGTGAAATCAAAAACCTGCTGTGCGGCGACAATGCGACTGGGCTTTTGTTGCCATTTTGAACTCCCAGGACCATCTTAAACATCTTAGTATCACAGTGTAATCAGTGCAATCAGAAAACCTGTCAGGAACTGTACCACAATATTTTTCCTTCCACCTGTCTACTCCACTCTGACATCTATACGACAGATGCAAGCACTAGCAAATGATCTCTTTCTCATCTACTGTCAATCCAATTATTCCATTCATTTGCGTCCGGCTTGTTTTTAAATGGACTGTAGCATCAATGGGGCGTAGCATCCCTATATCAATGAGCTGCCCCTCGCCAAGCAAAGCCAAGCGTCTAGAGTTCACCTCCTTCAGGCGTTTCACCAACTTGTCGCTGCACTTCACCGGAAAAATCACCTGGGGGATGGCGCGTGTGGTGGAAATGGCTGGGAAAAGTTCCAGCGGAACCGAAAAGATGAGTTGAAGAGACTTTGCAAAACTTTTCGTATGGAAACTATGTCAGGGGATGTTTGTGGTAATTAAAAGGTTTGCGCCATTGTTTGGTGCAAGTCGCATCATCTGCGCAGTGGAAGACCCAAACCGGGATGTTCTTCAACCTCACAGGAATCAAGTGTGGAACCATCCAAGAACAAGCATTTCTGCCTGGCTCCTCGAGTGAACCGCGAACATGTTCTAGTTCCACTTGGTCTTAGACCAGAGCGGTCCTATGGAAATGGAAACTTCAAAAGCGAATCTGTTCGAGATGAGCGTTTGATGGCGTTTCTGTAGCCATTTCGATGTCTTCAGGGTGTAGCCTCAAGCCAAGTTGGATGCTAAATGGAAAGACTGCGTGCCTCTCACAGGCCAAGGCGGGTAGGTCACCCGTGAAGCCGTAGGAACAAACGATGCAACCTGCAAAACGCCTCAGACCGACATGCATCTGGGAGTCAGCAGTGAACTTTGATGCTCGAAGCTCACATCTCTGTGCTCCAAACCTTGTCCTTTTATATATGGAAAATTGACCGAAGTGATACATATGTATGTATTAATATATTATATTATATATGGCTCTGCGGGCATTTTGCCCTCCCATGATTTGCAAGTTTTAGATATCAGGTACTGATGTGTCAAGCAGACTGTCTGGCTGCTAGTGTCGGAGTGCGCATGGAGAAGCTACATGCAGTATATATTACAGTATGTATTATATATATACATAGTTGATTTCTATTGGACTTTCCCAATTGCCATCTCAAACCCCCAACCTGGTGCTGGCCAACTCCATGACCTCCGTTGCCCCATCGCTGAAGCCAAAGAGAAAGATTCGGGACGTGTCCACCGGCGATGAGCGACAGAACCACTCCTGAGCCACTGGGCCACGCGCGGCGAGGCGTGGAACTGGTTGAAGTTTAGCAGAACTTGTGAAAATCCGAGTTTTTCCTGGGAGAAAACCCCCAAACCGGTGAGAAATTGGATTAAATGATGCATGCCACAAGAGCTGCTTAGAGGTGTGGACACTGCGACCATGGTTTCTGAGGTAAGTGTCCCAAGTGCCTCTACAATATGTACGCCATACTGGCTGCGAAGTACCAGAGCTGGGGTGTCTTCCAAAGACTCGAGCTAAGGCACGATGAAGGCAAGCATCTTCTTCCGTGGCTCCTCGTAGAAACTCTTTTTCCCAGCAGCATATGGTGCCTTGAAAACCAGCAGGTGGTCTGTTGGGGAATGACTCGCCAAAGCCCTGCTCAAACAAGCAGGTCTGTAGTCTGATGGTTGGTTCATTGCAAAAATTTGAGATTTCAGATCCAGCAAAAGTTGTGCATGTGAATTCGATGAGGGGGAGTCAGTGACCTCAAACGATGAGATTCAAATCTAGATTACGGCCTCAATGCCACGAAAATGTCCATGAAACTTCCAAGACAGAACACCCCGAACATGCAAATCCATTGACCAGTTTCAGCCATTCCCTTTCAAAACTTCCAGCTCAATCCATACCATCATATACCATAGCCAGGTGCCACCACACAGAAGTTCTCAGTGAGTTCTTTGGGTGCTTGCCCTGAAGCAATGAGGCTTGGGATGAGGCCGCCATGTTCGCCTTTCAAATTTGCGAGATCCCAGGCATCCTGCACCAGTCCACGATCCAGTGCACCGGGGAGCGAAAGGATGCTATCAAATATCGAACTCTTTTTACCACTTTTTACTTCTTTTCTTGCTGATTTCGAGTTGATGCCAACTCAGGGTATCCACTATCCATCAAATATCCAAAGGCCTTGTCGTTTCGCCCAGCTCCAGGGAGCACCACCAACAGCGGCAGGGAGTTCCTTTCAGATGGTGGGGAGTAGACCAGTGCCGAGTAGGTCTCTGGGTCTGTGACTTTCACCTGCAATGGGGCGATGTCTTGTGTTTCAGCCAGGGGGAAGCTATGGAAAGCTGATAATCCGAAGATATCCAAAGGTGCTCGAAGGTTTCCAGTCTTGGCCAAGAACATTGCGTCTACGGGATTCGTGTCAAGGTCACTGCCGAAACCGCAAGCCATGTACACCAACAGACAACAAGAACAAACCGGTGCCAAGTAGGGATCAAATTAGATTGGTCGTTAGAGATATTGAGCCATCCCTGGAGTTTCATACAGATTCACGCTGTTTCCCTAACCCATGTGACAATTTCCCTAACCCATGTGACAATTGCCCAATTCTTCACAGCCAGACCACCACGATTTGGCCATGACACCAACTCCCTCACAGTGCCCGCAGGGCCCTGAGCACAAACACGTCGCCGTGAAGCCATGGTCATCATGAGTGATGCTGCCAGCAAGGTACGCCGGACGACAGCAATTTCATCTGGACAAAGTGACTCACCTTCACAGATTTTACAGGGAAGCTGAGAAAAATGCCAGGAAAGGATTGTTGGAGACAGTTTCTGCTCTGTGGAAGCGTGGTATTTCAAACTGAATTTGAATATGTTGAGCGCTAAAGTTGGATGCAGAAGTTAACACCGCAATTCCTGTGGAAAGCCGAGAGCCTTCATCTCTCATGGAACCAAAACCACTGTGCGTGAACTGAGGGAACGATCATGGATTTTCCCCTCCAATGTCATCAAAGCCATGCTGGGAGTCCTATATGGGTTCCCCTATGAAGCCAGCTTGGCAACGGTTGGCAACGGTTGGCTCGAATTGGCCCATTCCGACCTTCAGCACCCTCAGCGAAGCGGCGTGATCTACAGCGAAGATATCCAAGTTTCCTGCGATGCTTGGGCCACTTGCAGTGCCAATGGTTTGCTTTCAAGCCATGGAATGAGCAAATGAGAGTCAGGACTGTCAGGACTTGCGAATTTTCACAAGCTTGTTTTGTGAGAGTTATCAGCTTTTCATGAGGGTGCCAAATCTGGAGGAGCAAATATCACCCAAGACCGGGGCGAAGACTGTGAGTTCAGAGACCACAATAATACATTGTGACCAATGTTCTGCATGATGTGCTGCTTTTTTAGATTCCTGTGTGCTTTGATTCATTAATCGTGGGTCAGGAACCATACCATATATACCATGCATTTCCGAGCTTGCCTTGGAAAGGTGGCCATGGCAACTCTGGCATTGCAAGGAGCCAACTGGCTTCGCCATCTGGTTGCACTTGCTAGATCCATCTGGACTCCACTGCACTTCTGTTCGAAGTCGCACCAGTCGCTTCCACATGGCAGCCAGCCCAGCTCATCCAACTCAAGGTGGGACAGGTGGGACAGGTGGGACTGTGGAACTGTGGAACTGCTGCGAGTATGGATATCATTGATATCATTGATATCATTTAAGCCTTGTGGGAGCCTTTTTTGCTTTCAGAACTTCCACTAGTCCATCCTGCTGGATGCCATATGAGTCATCGGAGCCAACGGCTACTGGTGGCAGATGTGGCAGATCATCGGAGCCAACGGCTACGCAGCCAGTTGTTTTTTGCGACGAAAAAAACGAGTCAGAAAAAAGACACCACATATATATACCCCAATTTATGATCTCAAAGAGACAAGAGACCTTGAGTTAAAATGGTTGAAAATTCAAGAGTGGGTCAGAACTTCCGCTGGAATGACAAACAACAACAATCACCAACATCAGGGGGTGCGGGAGTTTCTCATAGTTTCCCCTTGTGTTTCAGAGGGTTCAACATCTTCCAACATCTGAAACGAGCAGATCCAACGCTAATTCAGCTCGGTGGCACTCGCGGAGCTGAGGTCCGATTTCTGGTGGCCTCACAAGGCCAGCACGGAAGTCGGAGTCGAGTGACTAAGTGGGTCTGGGTCCAGAGTGAAGAATTTTAGCCTTTTTTTTCCTTCGTTTCCAAACCCAAAATAGTTGGTCCATGGATGATCCCGCCGTTCCAATGTGTTGTTTGAGGTTCGACCCACAGCCACGTGACTTGGAATTCGCTAAAGAATCCTTTCTACCTGCCATGGTGTTTGAAACTTCGCCACGGTACCGAGGTAGCCCGCGGGGCAGCCGAAGGCCTGGGCTGAGCCATGTTGAGTTGGAGAAATGACAAAAACTGACCCCGTACTGTCTGCATTTCCAGTTTCACATCCAAGTCTGAATGATACATTCACCCAATCTCAACATATCTCAACCTTGCCCTCTCCATTTTTTCCCGGGGAACAGGACTTGCCCTCTCCATTTGTCCCAGAGCCAAGCCCCCGGGCACTGCATGACCATGACCTTAGGGATCTTAGGGACACCAGACTTGAATCGTGGATTTGCTGATCAAATGGGTTTTTTTTATATGTACTGTCACTGTAACTGTAACTGTAAGTTCATCCCAGACTTATATGTACTGTAACTGTAAGTTCACCTGCGCTTCAGAGTTTTGTTTGAACTTTGATCATCTTTGATCCTGGATGGGATATGATGTACTACGGGATAGTGCTACGACCATCGTGGATAAGTTTCTCCCGAACCTTGGCAGTTGCCTCAACCACTTGGATCGCTCTGTCGAACTGCTGAGGAAACACCACAATTTCGCCACACCAAATTCTGTATCTGCAAATACGCATGTGACACATGTGATTGAATGTTGGTCAGTAATGCAAACATCCCAATTTATCCAATTTTCTGTGGATGGATTCTTGATTCTTGATTCTGACCCCCAAAAATCCTAAGAATCCTGACCTTTCCAAATGTTATCCCAAGGCAGGCCACAAGCGCCTGTCGATGCAGTCGGGCCGCTTCTGGTTCCACCATGCGCACCATGCGCACCATGCGCACCATGCGCACCATGCGCAGCGCCATGCTGTACCTGGCATCGCGAAGGGATGCTCAAGCAACTTGACATGTCGGGGGAAGTTTCACCGATACCTATAATATACATTATACATATTATATGCTTGAATCATAAATCTAAAGCGCTGATGACTCAAAAGATCATCGTGACATGTACAGTAACTATCTGCACATTGCCATGCCAAATACTAAATCTATGTGTTGAATCTCAAATCACTGCCATGATACCCTCTGGTTATGTCAAAATAGCTATTGAAAATGGCCCAGTCGAAATAGTGGATTTACCTATGAAAAATGGTGATTTTCCATAGTTATGTTAAATTACCAGAGGGTATGTTTCCCACCAGCTTCCCACCCCTTCTTCGCCTGTGCTCCTGCAGTGGCCGGAGCCACACGCTGCCGCTTGCAGCCGCGCGCCAGCCACTGCGAGATGCGGAGGGCGTGGAGCTGTGACAATGAAAATTGAACATCCAGTACCGGAGGGCTTTCAATGTACCCTCTGGTAAACATACAAAAAAATATGGGAAATCACCATTTTTAATGGGTAAATCCACTATTTCTATGGCCATTTTAAATAGCTATGTTAAATTACCAGAGGGTAGAGCATCAGAATTCCTTTGTGTGAAGGGTGCTCCTGTCTAATATACTCCCGGATCATTTCCCTTGCACTACTTGACTCGGAGAACTTTGCCCCGGAATGTTATCACTCTTTAACTTGTGCTTGCTTTGTTCCACATACCATGGGATCGATGTATACCGATGTCCGGTCTCGAATTTTTGTTCAAGCAACATCCCCCGACATCTTATGTGCGCATAACACATAGATTCCATCCATTCAAATTGCCAGCCTTTGGCTTCCGAGAGGTCAACAACCAGAAATTGCATGAAGATCGGCTTCCAAATCCAGCTAGATTGGGTTAGCGGATAAAAGGCCCAAGGATTTTAATGGTTTGACCATGATGGACCAAATCTCTAGCAGAAGTAGGCGATGACTATTGACTTCATCACTTTTCCAATCAAAGCAACAGCAGGAGCCCAAGCACCTCCCTGAAGGGCTCCAGCTGTGCAGCAAGACTTTGGCCGGGAGCATCAGCTGCTGCCTGCGGTGACATTCAGTTCTGGAGCTTCCAACTCCAATGGCTCTTCACAAAAATAGCTGAGTAGTCTGTGTTGATTAATTTTTGTCACTGGACAGAATCATCTTTCCCAGCAAACAAATCATCATATTATCGGTTCTTGTTAGTTCTTGTTTCATCAATGTTCATTATATTGATAGAGAAGTCTTGTTGGATGGGCTGCCTTCGATGGGCCATCTGTGAGCCGCTGCCATACCTGGCAGAGGCAAAGGTGGGGATTGAGAGCTGACAGCCCTGCCATGGGCGATCGACGGATCGACGCGGGTGCCTTTAACTATTGAACCCTGGAATTCTAGAGACAACTCCTATGGAAAATGGTCGTTTTCTTCCCCAAGATTCATCGTTTGGACATTGAATCAAATGTACTCAGGCACAAAAATATTTCCCGGGTAATGTTTTTTTCATAGATCCTGGATTCCAGCCTCATCTGCCAGAGCTTGCCAACAAATGGCAGGACCTTTCGCAGACATGAAAACCGGGAGGGAACCAGTTGATTATTTCACCATTTGGGGATCATGACAAACCAAAAAAAGAACACCCACGGCTGCGCTGTGCGGAAGTTGCCATCATGATCTGAATCCTTTTTTTACATATCAATGGCTTGTCCAGCGCGCCTTCATCAATAAGAGCTGACGCAGATTCTCCCACACCTTGACACCAGCACCGTTGTCATCAACACTACCCCATCCAGTACCTGCACATAAGAACCACAGAAAAATCGATATGACTTGACACACCCAATGCGGAGCAGTCATCTATCATCGTCATCCAGAGCAGTCATATGAGTCATATTCATACCAGTGATACCATGCTTATACCATGCTTATACCATGCTTATACCATGCTTATACCATGCTTGCGACCCGCACTCGACTTCAAGGCACTTGAGGCGGCAGAAACAAAGCCTTTCAAGAGCACCTGGAAACAGCGAGGCCGAGGCAATCCGAGGCAACGTCAGGCGGGTCCAGAGAGTTGCACAGAAGTCATTCAGGCGAAGAGGGAAGACGTCATGATAGTGGATATATGTGGATATGACTGATATGACCAAATCAAAGTGTTTCACCTATGGGCAGAGAGGTTCCTCAACTGACACAAAGGCCTTGAAATCAGAGGAGTTTCGCAATATGCGACAATGCATCAGACTTCCAACTCTGTAATGTCTCTGTATGATCTGTATGCCAGAATCTTCGATCCAAGCCGGAAATGCCTTGGGTGATCTTGGGTGTATACACACAATGATCAACCCCATGTGCCTCCAGTGTGCGCTCAAAGGATGCTCGGGAGAGCCTTGGCCCCACAACGGATACAACGGTGCGGATTGCCTAACTGAACAGATACTCGACGGATTCTTGGTTGCCAGCTTGAGGTCCTCTTGCTGCACGAAGGGGTGCCTGACATTTGACATACTAGGAACTCAGCTAGACATTGCCTGCATTGTATCTACATGTATCTACATGGGAATGGCTACTTCATCCGCGACCTTCTGATCTTGTCAGTTCCCCGAGGTTATTCTTGCAATTTTCAGGAAAATGACGTGCAGATTCAGAAACAGTCACAGCTTCCGCAAACTCGACAGGGCAGCTCAAGAAGCTCTGGAATTGCTGGACGTTTGCTGGGATCTCGTTGTAGACACCTACAACATGGAAAAAGAATTGGAAGTCCAGTGGCTTACTGTTACAGCTATTTCAGTGCCATGATCCGCCATGAGTCCATTCTTGGCCTGATTGCACTGCAAATGTGGTTCAAAATCCCATGCCAGGAGATCTTCTGATGCATCAGGATTCAAACGGGTCAACATTGCAATATCACCCCAGCTTCAGACACTTCAGACTGCAAACATCTTTCGAATTCCACAAGTCTCCAAGAAATCACAGCGGCTCAAAAGTGTTCCACTGATCCAAGCTTTAAAAAAACCGGGCACGAGCCTTTGCAGAACATCCAGCAACATTGCCTGCAAAGCATCTGAGCGCAGCAATCAAAGTCTGCTACGTCTTCAATCACTCCCAGCTACAGTGTATCTACAAAGCCCGATGTGGTCATCGAGTCTTCTCTACATGGCTCAAAACCCTGGGTGCGCATTAGAATAGCTGGTAATTGGATGTTGATCCTCCCATTCATGTGGAGAAACACATGGTTTGAACTCGAATGTGATCACCTGGCATGAATTTTGCGAACACCTCTCCCGTCACCCAGTCCTACCTTCACGGCCGGCGAGTGATTCTCAAAGCGATGCCTCTCAGGAAACTCCACGGAGACATTGGGATCCTCAGCTCAGTGAAAGCTGAGCCACGCTTGTTTCGAGAGAATGTTAAAGATTCTGAGCCATCCACGGTCAAGGCAAAGAGTCTCTGCATGGGATCCAGATGAGCAAAGGGTGCTCGCATGTAGACCATCTGGTACCTGGCAGAACTCTTGGGCGACATAGAGGCCCTAGAGGCCCTAGAGGCCCTAGAGGCTCTGGGATGTCTGGGTTCTTGGTGCCTTCCCCCAATTGAGAGCTGGTGGCACCTTGTGAAGATACCATTCTGTGCATGAGAAGCTTGGCTGAGATTCAGACCAAAATAAGTCTTACAAAAGGAAAACTTGGCTCACAATACGGGAAACTTGCATTGGAGCCCGATGTTTTGCAGGTGTGCAAGTTTGATCCGTCCAAACTTGCAGAAAATGATTGGTCGATCTAAGACCATGTGGTGGCAACTTGAAAGGAAAATGGATGGTGCCATGGGCGACTTGAGACGCGAACCTTTCTCAACTTTCCTCGATTAATCACAAACACCTCTAGGTGATCCATACCGGCCAAAGGGCCAAACCCCAAACTGAACCCCCCGGTTCACCCCCCGACATCCCCAGACTGAGTGTCGCACAAGATGATTCCCAGTGACCAAACATCGGATGGGCGTCCAATCTTCACGGCACCCTGCTTCACAGCCTCCGGGGCCATGTAGCTGATAGTGCCCACCGAGGATTCACGGCTGATGTTCGTGGTGTTGCTGGCAATCCTGCAGCGCAGGAACCAACTTCCGCTTAAGGGCTGGATTCAAAATTGTAGGAAATGTGGCGCAATGTCACTGATACAATAAAAGAACTTCTCTGCTACCTCTTCCATTGCTTTAGACTTCAACATTGTGAAAAAGACATACCCTCTGGTGAACTAACATAGCAATGGAAAATCACCATTCTTAATGGGAAAATCCACTATAAATAGCCATTTTCCATAGCTTTTTGTATGTTCACCAGAGGGTAATCCAATTCTTCATTTGACCAAGTGGTTTTGCTGCCGCGCGGTTGTTAGACCAGGAACTGGTCTACGGATGTCACCAGCCTCTTGGCGATGCCAAAGTCGATCAACTTCAATCGCTGCTTCACCAGGAGGAAGTTGCCAGGCTGTAGCCGGATAAATGGACAAAGAAATCAAAGGAATGAAGGCACAGTCATAGTTGGTTACACTTGGTTGTTGTTCGAAACAACTTTGGATTCTGGCAAATCAGCAGACATCGAGATTGAAAGGTTTGAAAGCCAGTTGGCAACTTTGATATGCGTGGCAGACAAGAGCATCTCCAGGGTGACAATATTCATCTTATTTCATCATGCCTTTGAGGGATGTGTAAAGGACTTCACAAAGGCAAAACAAATTCACTATCACGATCTCATCGGGCTGATTTGCCAGCTCCTGCCTTCAAATCTGAATGAACCACGCGCTCTTGGTGAACCACCTCCACTCGCCAAAAGCTCCAGTGACGGATGTCAAATGTCAAGATAGAAAAGAAATTAGCTACGCTCCTTTCGCCCAAACTGGTTTTCCAGTCCTGAATCAAATCCTCAATTCATCAGGAAGTCAAACATTGTCAAAGAGTCCAAAGGGTTTTCCAGACATTCCCACAACATCCCGCAACATACAAGTTATGGATACATCCCATTCCCATATCATCCTTGGTTACGCAACATCCCGCAACATCCAGTGATTCAATCATCATAACAACCATTGAAGTCACTGGATGAAAATCTCAACTCCTCAAAGAGACTGGAGTCTGGAGCCCGCGGAGATGGCGGGACCCTCACCTGCACAGCCTCCAGCATTTGCTTCCACAGGGCCTCAGGTGCATCTTGGAGATCACAAGAGGAATGTGGAACTGAAGGTGTGAACAAAGCCTTCCAAATCGACATGGTCTGCATACAATACTATATATATATATATGTAGTAATAATAATAATAGTATATAATATTCATAATAATCATCATCATAATCATAATAATAACAATAATATAATCTGCATTTAGTCTGCACTTAGAGAATATGGGGTCCCTGTTCTTGCCCTCGATGCCACCACCCATACCAGGGCTTCCGTGGCCACCTGTTGCAGGGAAACAAACGCCTCGCCTGCACATCTCCCAGGGTCATCTCCGTCTGGCTCTGCAAGAACCTGGCAGCTTCCCCAAACTCCAGGAATTTTGCGACTAGAAGTGGGAACCCAGGGAGGGAAACAAGATATAAAAAAATATACCGTAGGACGTGGGAACCCAAAGAAATCCGATATGGGATGTCTCAACATGGCCCAGTTTGTTCACATGGAACACCTGAGACTTCACCCACCTCCCAAGATCCATCTGGCCCTCTTCCATGACCTCGACAACAAGGACATGCTATGCGACTACCGCTTAACGCGAGGCATTCAAGTTGTAGAGGATATGATACGTTGATCAGGAACTGATGCGTTCTCAACATTGAAAGCCCCCAGCAAAAATCCGACCATCCCCCGGATCTTGCACACTCGGTAGGGCTCATGCACATGACAGAGTCGACTTCCACAAGTTTGGCTGATCCCATTTGATCCAATGAAACGAAAACATTGCATCTCAGCCCACTACTATATGAATGAGAAGGCGCTCAGGCAGGACCTGCACATGCGAGCAGCTTCAATCGGGCACTCCAAAAACCATGGTGGTGTTCACTGTGAATCTTACCATTCTTACCAGAGTCTTACCACCTCTTTGGCCCTTTGGAAGCCAAGCACAGTGAAATGGTAGTCATTGCGTCTCTGTTGAGGGTTCGCCTCTGCATCCAGCACCTGGATGATGTTTGGGCACTCCTGCAGGAGATACCAGGAGTGAATAGGAGTGACAGCTTTGTATCAAACAAAGCTATATCAAAATCCACCTGTTAGCATTGACTCTACTTGAGATGATTTCCAGTGGAACTTGGTAGCGTTAGAGGCATCCAGGCCTTCAGCTGCATCAGCAGAGTCACTTCGTTGGCTAAGGCCTGGCCGCGGTTGGATCTCCCGCCAGTTTTCCGCTGCCTTTAAACTTTCAAATTCTTTAAACTAGCGGGTTTCGGGTTGTGAAAGTGTCATGTTTGAAACCATCAGGTAGCTTGAAAAGTCAGGAGTCTCTGTGATTCGGAAGCTTTACAATGTGTCCGTCGGATGTCCTTCCTTTGTGGTGGTGCAGCTGCTTTTCACTGTGTTCACATGTTACCCGGTGTTACCCCATCTAAATGACTGGAAACGATCCCATCATCTCAACAAATCAGCCATTGTGCTGTGCTCCACGAGTTTCCACCTCCTGAACCACCGACCAAGCCGGAAGATAGCCAGACCAAACTGACCAAACCAATCCCAATATACAAATACATGATCCTCAGGCATATCTCAATATATCTCAACATATTTCAAGTCATATCGACCCCACCTCAAAGTGTTTGGGGCAACTGGCCGTGACCCTCTTCAGCGCCAGTAACCTCCCAGCAGGAGATCGGACTCGATAGACCTGCGCTGATGTCAATCCGTGAGCCATGCCATTCCGTGAGCCGATGTGCCTACATGGCGTGTCTTTCACGTACATAATATATATATATATACAAATCATATACACATGACATGTGTATATAATTTGTATGACATGTGTATATGAATTGTATGTATGTAATAATGTAATATTAATATGTTTTATATAGGAAAATATACAATATATAATAATATATACTGCACTACAGTACTCATTTCATTTCAAAGACGAAAACTATCGAGGGCTTCCGACCATTCCCTGCATACTTTCTCCGGCTGGAATATGAGGATTGGACGAGATTTCAGGGTGTGAAAATGCATCGACATTCACGGAACTACAGATGCAGACTGAGAGGAAAGTGTGATGGGATGGAACCATTGGACCCTGAACTCACAAATAAAAACATGCGTAATACTGTACTACATGTTCAATTTCAAGAGGCGTTTCAGACCTGATGCTGAGTTCAAACTCTGAGATGGACTATTGCAGTAATGCTGTGCACAAGAAGATTCAATCAGAGAAATTTCTATATGGTCAGATTGATTTGAGACTGAGAAGTCATTGAATTTCTCGCCAAAAAAACCAGAAGATTCCACTCTGCTGAGGTTTTCGGGTCTACCACAAGTGCCATCCGCGAAACTTTTGCTCCAGACATGGCCGCTGCCAGGAATTCGCTGAGAATGTGCCGCCTTTTTTCGCTCAGTATTGACCTGGAGGAAGCAGCCAAAATGGGTTGGAGAGCTGCAGCCGCTGCACTTGAGAGGGAAACAATATTCCATGTTTCTGGTACCCTCTGGTGAACTAACATAGCAATGGAAAATCACCATTGTTTATGGGAAAATCCACTATAAATCACCATTTTCAATAGCTATGTTAGTTCACCAGAGGGTATGTATTAAGCTGAGCTGCCTATGGTATGACGTCTTCAGGGAATGGATGTTCCAAGCAACATACTGTACGTATCGTGGATACAGTGACAGTCATATGTAAAGAATCTCAGAAAGCATCCAAGCTCCCTGCACCGAAGAATTCAATTACAGGGACTCGATAGCTGCATCCTCAGTACACCGTCGCATCTTGCGAATGTAGAGCTGGGCGAAGGTCTTGTTTCAGCATTTGAAACAACGTTGGATCATCAATGCTCATCTACAACCAGTCACAAGTTTGCAGTTGTGATATCAATAAACAATGGTTAATATACAAGCCAGGTAGATACTTCCTGCTGTCTGCTTGAGTCCGAACTATCAGATGCAAATATCGAGGAGGAAAGAAATATACTGAGACCACCGGCCATGAACTTCTTTTTTTGGGCCACAGTGAGACTCTTCAGCTCCTCAACAGACTCAACAGCTGTGTTAAATGGACTTGCTTTGACGGTTCAGACAGCAGCATGCGATACAAGACCTTCTGCAAAAGGGTGTGATCTGATCCAGATCATCGATATCACCAAGAACTTCACTTTCCCTTTTAGATCCTTTTGGTACGTTTTCACCTGAGTGGTTCAAAATCACATTCAGCCGGAAGTTGGCTACTGCCCTGTCTACTCCAGCCATGCGTCCTTGAGGCCCCGGGTCACAGCTTGGCTATCGATGAAGGCCTCCAAGTTCTCCTGGGTACGAGCCTCGGTGGTGGCGCAAGTTCTATCGTTGATCCTTTGGTGTTTATCCAGGTTATACTGGCTGTACCGTATCTTGCCTGTCACAGCCATGGCAGTCATGGTTTTATCACCATCCCCTTGCCCAACTTCCAACTTCCAATCCCGGTTCTGACATTCTGCCTGCAAGTCTGAAAGGCTCTTCTCCTGGGCCTTATCCTGCATCTCCATCTTTCTCTTGGCCTGTTCCTGAACTGCTAAAACTCACAAGCTGGACAAAAGCTAAATGTGTGCCCAGCATTTGGTTCATCCCGGTGCGCTTCCTGTTTTGGATAGAAAGATAGCCATGAGCAATCAATCCACGTATGCTAGCCACAGTGGCCATGGAAAGAAACCCGACTGTATTGATGCATCCCCAATGGTTACGCAAGTTCCTATTCAGCGCAAAACTGTCTGCATCCAGAAAATGGCTATCCAACTCAGGTGATCTTTGGGATCTGTGTCAGTTCCAAGCAGGTGGCCTTGAGGTTGGACTGGAACTCAGCAATGTCCTCCACATTCCAAGCTTGCGCTGGAGACTCCGAAAGTTTTGCCTCAACACTTTTTTGGTGAGATATTGGTGAGATATGTTAAAATGTAATTGAAATGTGGAAAGATAATGTAAAATGCTGTGAAAAGCAGAAATGATGTAGACATCACCCACTCCAAAACCCACGACCATTGCCATTGTTCCCGTCCTTTGCGATGCTGTCGTTGATTTCCTTCACCACCTCCACACAGAACGAGCAATCCAACTGTGGTGCTCTTGAGACCATCTAGAAGTATACGAGGAAGATCAAGAAAGAGAATGACACTCCATGAAAATCCTCTCCATGAAGCCAGGTTCAAGGTATGCAACCATGCTGCAACTGCATTCTTGGATTGCTTTGAACGATCTTGCGACAGGCGCTGGCACAGACTGGTTCATACTTCTTGGCATCAAGAAAAACAGACCCTAAATTGCCTAGCAGCCAAATGGTAAAACATGGTAAAACCATGTAAAACAGAATTCACCAGTTCTAAGAGTCTAAGCTCAAACACAGGTGCATTACATTTGAGTCTACCATGTTTCTGTTATTTCACCAAACCTCACCCTCAACTCACCGGTCGACTTCCATCCCCGCACCTGGTCGGCCTGGGCCTTGTTCTTCTCGGCTTCAGCCAATCGGCTGGTGGCCTCGTTGTACTTGGCAATGGCATCCTCAATGTCGGACTTGATTTCCTGCGCGACTGAAGTGACATCTGATCTTCACTGGGATGCTTTGCAGCTTTGCAACTAAAAATGGCTTACAAACGTCTGTGTCTTGACGATGAAAGGCCACTGGAAGTAGGGTCGGCTTACAAATTTATCAGCAAAGACCCCTATACTTGAAGAGCATCAAGAGCCCCCACAGACGGGCATATGATGATCAATCGGGAATGAAATAAGTGTTGGAATTGAAAGCGGCAACTGGCAGGATGGCAATTGAAATCCTGCAAGTTCTATTCGATAAGCCACATCACTTGGCCAAGTGCTGCAAGGGACGCATAAGGGCAGAAAATTCTTCATGGGCATGTTCGTCTTGGGGTATATCCTGATTAGTAAAATGTAAAACAATATATATCTATATATGTATATTATATATATATGTAATATATATATATAACTAATATATATATATAACTAATATATGGTTTTAGCTTACCAAATTTGTTCTCCGGCTGGCCGCCTTCTCCCGAGATGCCATGGACTCGCCCAAGACTGGGGACAAGAAGTAGAACAGCCTCGATTGGATCGACAAAAACACCATTTTCAAACCTGGCAATCGGAAATACTGAATTTTACTAAGTGTTTTACTGGGAAACCATTAATAACCATTAATAACATTAATAACCATTAATAACTGGTAATAACATGGCAATTTTACTGAATGCAGGTTTCTAGCTGGGAAAGTCATGAAACTAGCCATTGGCCCATTTTTCCAGGAAGCCATGTTGATTGGAGGGTAGCCGTCATGGCTGCATGGATCCCAATATGCAGTTGTTCTGAGTTCTTAAGCTCAGAATCTCAGCAGCATCTTGGCATCTGAATAAACCACAAGCCGCATCACTTGGCCCCGTGCCCAGCAATCAGGATGGAGATGTTGACCAGGTTGATACTTAGTGGCACAAAATCAGCTGGGCACCAATCATTGCAAGGGTGCCAGATTGATTGCTTTGTCTTCCACTGCATTTTTAAAGTAATGACATCTGATTTCTTCTATTTTTTCTCAGATTAGTGCCACACTTCTCAGACCTGTTTTGTTTCTGCATAACTCGGAGACCCCAACTCTGGGATGTTGAGGTTCAGGGCGAATCCACCGCCCAGCTCGACCTTGGTGGCATGTCCAGCTATGGAAGCAGCGAAGTCAAAAAAGTTGCAATTACATGGTATTACATGGTATTACGGAATTCACCTCATACAGAACTATAAATCTTTAAACCATTTTATATAAACCCATTCACTTTCATTCACTTTCAACATTCAACACAAACCCATGGCTTTGGTCTGTAACTTTGAACCATCTTCCGCTACCCCAATGTCCCTTGAAAAAAAAACACGCGCGCCTTGCCAAAATCCAGCAGGCCGCCACCCTCTTCGGCCATGGCAGGCATAGCCTAAGCATCGCCGCAGGGGATATGCCAAATTTTCCTGGCAGCCTTTGTTCTCGAGAAAGGAAGCACTGAAAATACTCAGTCCTGGTTGCTCATTCCTGCTGCTCCAAACTAAGCCGACTACACCGCTAGCAGCCAGTGCACCAGCACTTGCCATGGCGCCCGCCTGATTAAATGGCAGCACCAAATCAGAAGACATTTCAACTTTGTTGTTCTATGTTAACACTGGGTGTGTCTGAAAATGTTGTGTACCCCATTTACCCAATGGTTTTGCTGATCATTATCCCTATTAAATGGCTATAATTCATGGTTAATGACAAACCCACTAAGCAAACAGACTTTGTGAATCAGCAACCTGAGCTACGTGCCCGGAGCATCGGCTGGTTGCCAGGCAGGAAGGCGGTAGAGCTCCATCGCAAAGCAAAGGCAGCAACCTTGGAGGCTTCATGGCAGATTGCGGATTCCTAATCGCACACTGTTTTGATGAAATTGGACATGTCAAGTTTTTGTACATGTCATGACAGGGTCCACAAGAAAACTGCACGATTTTTCAGTAAAGATCACTTGATGAATCACAAGTGTCTTCCTGGCTTTTGGAAAGCAATGATTCAATCAGACCTCAAATCATATCCAGCATCGATTCAAAAAACGGTACTCTTGGAACGAAGGCGTGGAAAAATGCAGCTCAGCTACAGCGGCAACAAAGGCCACAGCGAGAATGTTGCGCCGAGCCATCTGTTAACAGAAGGGTATCATGAAGGAAAGCGAGAAAATGTGAAGAGTGATGGTGAGAAAAATCTGTTGGATTGCTTGCGATCCCCTCCGAGTTTGTTGGAACATGTTGGTACTTCCATCCGGCAACCCCCAGGAAAGATTTCCAAATGTGAAGATATTTTGCCAAAAACACATGAGAGATATAAAAGATTAATAAAGTCCCTATTTCGGTACTCTGGAGAAACTGCGAGACTTTGCTTCCCGGCATCTGCACTAAGGATGAGATGAAAAACGAAAGCAACAGGCACCTTGGACACAAACTGAGGAGACCTTGGTCATGAAAGAGGTTGTCGCTGCTGTGCAGTCGGCAAACCCAAGCTGAAACATGGCCAACATTGGCTTCACTGACTCTCCATATGCTCAGAATACAATAGCCCGCTCCAGTCCGCAACAATTTTGGGGTACCTTGAAAGCCTTAGAAACGTCCAAATAAGAGCCGGAGCAACCAAACCCTGGGCTAGAAAACTTGGCGGACTGCCGCACACTGTTGCTCGCTTCGTTTAGCTGGATCCTTTGCCCACTGACTTTCATAAAACGCTGAGCTTCCCACGCAGCGCACGGGGTCTGCAGGATGCTTGGAGCCGGAAAAAGCTTCAGTCCACGGCGGGTTGAACGGCAATGGATGGCAGTCATGACCGGACCTTGGATCCAACCTCCCAACAGGGTGTAGCTGTACCTTGATATTTGCCCAGCTTACCACCGCAACATGGTTGTTCAACTACTTCAATATGAACTCGAACAAACATCCAAACGAACAAACATCCAAACGAACAAACATCCAAACACAAACCTGCGGGCCCTGTTGGCTAATTCATAAATTCTTTGGTTTGGGATTGACCCCCTACTCTCCCTATCCATCCCTATCCATCTATTCATCCATTTACAGCTACGGACATTCTTCTCTCGCCTTGGAAGTGCCACCTCTTCCAATGGTCTGCAAACGGGTGTAGGACACCTTGCAAGCGGCGGGCATGGCGTTTTGACAGGGGGAAGAACGTTTCAATCAAAGGGACGGAGCTCGATTGATTGATTTATATTGATCAATGTGAAATAGGAAGTTGTTCTTGGAAAATCCATCTGTTCCGTCAGCATGAAACAGAGGGTGAAGGGACTACATTATCTGCAAGGCCATCCAAAGTGACTGTTGTGAGTATTACAGGGATATACTTCAGCCACAACTTCCCAATGAGCCACTTTCAGTGAGCTCGTCAATTTGTGGTCAAGACGCAGCTCACTGAGGCCATGGCCCCATTCACCACCACAATTTTTGGCATGCCTGGCATCAGGACAGCAAGGTGGTCTTCAGCTGAGTCTTCATCAAACATTTCGGTCAGCTGTAGGAAATAGGGGGTACTGTATGGTACTGTATGGTACTGTATGGTACTGTATCTATGGGCATTGTAAGAATTCGTGTTGGATCCCAGTTTTGCAAAAATTGTGAACTGTCTAACTGGAGGAAGCGACACACGAGAATCTTGGTAATCTTGGCTCTCATCAAAACAGAGCATAATGCAAATCTTTCCGCACAAAGAGATACTACCCAGTGACTGTGCGTTCACTTCCCTGCTTAAGCCTCTCAAATTTGGGTCGCTTCTCATCCAGTTCCCACCCACGCCCAATCATCGTCACTCAACAAACCACAAGACTCAGCTGCCTTGACTGATCTCTCCCGCTGCCTGTGGCAAGCCATAGTGAGCTGTGGCCCAGAAGCCATGGAGTCCATCAACAACTGGATGCTGATCAACAGCAACAGACTTGGGATAAGTCTAGGAAAAAGAGGAAAACCTTCAGACATCATCAGACATCTTTTGAATTCAAAAAGACTTCGGCAATAGGTCGGCAGTTGGCCCTCCCAAGGGGATCAGCGGAGGCCAGAGACGCTGCAGACCTATGCAGATCACCCACCCATTTCTCCGTGCCTTCTGCACCTCCAAAAAATCCTCGACCCACAGAACAATGGAGCAAAAGCGAGGTGCTAGAAACCAAACTGGTGAAGGAAAAGTTCAAGCTTGGTGACATTGGTCATACCTATCCAAAGTGCCCTGGGATTGATTCCCTTTAGATCATGATTAGAAGATCTTGCCCGACTATTCACCACTCGAACTTTGGCTGCAGTTGTAGAGGTGTAGCCCTCATTTTCTCCTTCAACCCAAACAATTGCTGAAGAGGTTATATCAAGTTACCCTCTGGTTGTTTAACATAGCCATGGTATAGATGGCCCATTTTTAATAGGTAAACCCAGGTAAACCATCTATTTCGATTAGGGCCATCTATACCATGGCTATGTTAGTCATAACCAGAGGGTATATCTACCATATGGGTCTGCTTAGGCCCTGGCCGATCCATCCGTGCCTGATCAGTCCATTCGATTCATCCCAGCAATACACCCGCCATTGTATGAGACCCCAACACAACAAATCAACTACTACAGTGTGGTTTCCAAGGGGGTTCATGAATCTTATTCAGGAAAGGGACCATGTCACCTTTTCAGCCAAAGATCAACCCAGATTCCATCTGACAAACTCGCAATGGACTGGCCTCTTGGTGCCATGCCAGCTTTCTCGCGATCCTCTGGGATGGGCGACAAGTCCACGGCAGTGGACACCTGATCGTCAACGGCTTTTATTTCGACCGCTGATTTGATGTGTTTTCTGGGCCACTTCTTTAGTTCAAGGCCCACTTGATCCCTTGTGCTGGGTGCATGCTTAGGGTTCTCAATTCACGGGCCCAGAAAAACAACATCACTTTGCCAAGTGATATCAAGTGCCATTCAGCTGCACCCAACAGCTGGTGGGCTTCGAAACTGTCTGAACTTAGTATTTGAATCGTGCAGTGCATATCTAGTTGTGAACCAAAAGTGAAACCCAAAATGAGATGGTTTAGTACAACCAAGATGGCCTTAACTTTCGACCCATGCCCTTTCCCATTTGTGTCCCTTTGTCCCATCTTCAAATATCAAACCGAATCACACCACTTATATAGTTGTTTACATGTAATCCCAATATATCCTGCGAATTCCGGGTACATAACCCCATTTTGCTTTCTTAAAACCCAACATTTTTGGCCAAGCAGCTCGCGGAAAGTCTCTGCGAGAAGGCTCATCGCTCCGATCGTTCGCAGTCTCTGGACGGCTCAGCAACTCCATCTGGCAGTCACAATGCAACAGATCCAAGGTAGGACCTTGTCATCTTCAACATTATAGAATCAATTAAATCAGGTTACAGTAATTCATTACAGACATCATTGATAAAATGTAAATATATGTAAATATCATTGTTATGCCACAAAATTGCTAACCATCGCGAGAAAATTATGTAGAAAAAATGATTGATTCACATCAACGGCTTGATTCATGTGCTATACAAAGCAGGAGTTGGCTATGGTTTGACACTGAGAGGTTCGCTGGAAGCCTTTGCTCCCTAGCTGCACTTAGAAGTGGTGCTATTGCTTCCCACTTCAAACACACTATGAAGCGTTGAAGTGTCATCCATGGTGATTTGCAGTTGATTTCATCCAAGATCTTGGAGGTGATTCAACAGAAACAAGACTAGCTCTTTTGGGCACCACCATTTCGTCATGCCCACCGTACCTTTCGTGGCACGGCTGGCACTGCCACTCCTTGGTGTTCAGACTCGCTCAGCTTGCCTTCCTCCTGTTGTGACAAACAGTTTGCTGCCATTCCTATCTGCCACAGGAAGTTCATGTGACACCACGCTGCATCCAAGACGTTGTGCATTTGTCAAGATTGTCAAGCACATTGCAAGGCCAGCAAACAAAGTGCGAATCAAGCACAACGACTTCCGAGTGTGTATGGAAACCCTTTGTTCAAGCAGGATGCCCTAAAGTCTTGTGATATTTCTTGTTGCCATATACATTACCCAAGTCGTCATTTGACCCTTTGTGGACCGTTTCGGGCCCTTCCTTCTCTGAAAAGGCGTTGGCAGCCACAGCGGCGATAGCTTCTTCCAGCTTGGTGGTGTCGCAACTGCTGTAGCTGAGATTCCTCTGCTGGCTGAGCTGGGGAACACTTGCCCCTTGCAAACATTTGTGCCCACTGGACTGCAGGATGCCAAACTCTGACTTTTGGTCTAGTGACTAACCGGGGTCACAGAGCGGGGCAGGAAATCTACAACTGACAATGAATGACACTTTTGCTAACGTGGCTTTACTTGGACTGCTGCTACCTTCTGTGCCCAACGTTTGGATATATCGATTTAGTGGGAAAACGTTTTTTTGGACCTCGTTCGATGTCTTTTGGACCTGGACGCTTTTCATGGACCTTACTACATTTCTTTTGGAGATGGCTACCCTTCTTTTGGACCTGCGCACCCTCCTGCTGGACCTGGCCCTTCCCAAACCACACCCTCTTTGGATAGATTCTCCAAGCTGCGTCTTGATCGCAATTCTTCAGACAGTAGGGGGCTAGGGCTGTGCTACCATGCAGCGTGGCAGGCAGCATTTCAATACATTGTGTGGTTCAGTGCCTCCTTCCATTCCTGCCCTCTTCTCAATTCCTACTTTTCACACCTCTTCCGGCCTTTCTCAGTTACACAGGGGCTCAACTTGGTGTCAACCTGGGTGAAAGCGCCTCACTTGGGAACATTCATCTGGTTTCAATATCTAAACTTCCCCTCTTGTGCCTGTCATCAAACTTCCTACATTTCCTGCACTCATTGGGTTTGAATATCTATACTTCCCCCCTAGCCTCTCTGCACTTCTTGCATTCATTTTGCTTCAATATCCAAATTTCCTCCCGGTGCCCTTCAACAATTTCCTGCATTCATTTGGTTTCATATGTGGCACCCCCATGGCCGCCCCGCAATTTCTTGCAAGCATCTTGTCTCAATATTCTCAAGCTCTCACACACCTGTGCCTCTCAGCAACTTCCTGCATTCATGGGGTTTCAATATCTAGGCTTCTCCCCCTCGTCTCTGCACAACTTCCTGCATGCATCGCCATTTGGGTTCAATATCTTTGCGCTCATATGGTTTGAATATCTATACTTCCCGGCCCTAGCCTCTCTACAAACTTCTTGCGCTCATCTTGTTTCAATATCTAAGATTCCTGCCCGGTGCCCCTCAACAACTTCCTGCATTCATTCTAAACTTCCTCCCCTGTGCCTCTCAGCAACTTCCTGCATTCATGGGGTTTCAATATCTAGGCTTCTCCCCCTCGTCTCTGCACAACTTCCTGCATGCATCGTCATTTGGGTTCAATATCTTTGCGCTCATATGGTTTGAATATCTATACTTCCCGGCCCTAGCCTCTCTACAAACTTCTTGCGCTCATCTTGTTTCAATATCTAAGATTCCTGCCCGGTGCCCCTCAACAACTTCCTGCATTCATCCTGCTTCAATATCTAAACTTCCTCCCCTGTGCCTCTCAGCAACTTCCTGCATTCATGGGGTTTCAATATCTAGGCTTCTCCCCCTCGTCTCTGCACAACTTCCTGCATGCATCGTCATTTGGGTTCAATATCTTTGCGCTCATATGGTTTGAATATATATACTTCCCGGCCCTAGCCTCTCTACAAACTTCTTGCGCTCATCTTGTTTCAATATCTAAGATTCCTGCCCGGTGCCCCTCAACAACTTCCTGCATTCATCCTGTTTCAATATCTAAACTTCCTCCCCTGTGCCCCTCAGCAACTTCCTGGGTCCTGAATTCATTTGATTTCATATCTGGTTCCCCCGGTGCCTCTCCACATTTTCTTACATGCGTCTAGTTTCAATATCTAGGCTTCCCCTCCTCGTCTCTCCAACTTCTTGCATGCTTCAAGATGGGTTCAAGGTCTAGGCTTCACCCCTCATCTCTCAACAACTTACTACGTTCATCTTGATTTAATATCTAACTTTCTCTTCCCCCAATGTGCCTCTCCACTTCCCGGAGACACGTATCAAACAAAAAATATGCATCAAAAAATATCCAGCATGCATCAAAAAATATATAGAGGTCAACAAAAAAATCAGGTGCCACTGTGTGAGACCTCATGCGTTTCGTGTTGCAAACCTAGACCAAAAAAAACGTATCAAAAAAAATCATAGCAGCAGTAGGAGTAGCAGTAGCAGTAGGAGTAAAAGTAGCAGTAGCAGTAGGAGTAGCAGTAGCAGTAGCAGTAGCACTAGCAGTAGCAGTAGCAGTCGCAGTAGCAGTAGCAGTAGCAGAGCAGTAGCAGTAGCAGCAGCAGCAGCGGCAGTAGCAGTAGCAGTAGCAGTAGGAGCAGTAGCAGTAGTAGCAGTAGTAGCAGTAGTAGCAGTAGTAGCAGTAGTAGTAGTAGTAGCAGTAGTAGTATTAGCAGCAGCAGCAGCAGCAGCAGCAGCAGTAGTAGTAGTAAGTAGTAGTAAGTAGTAGTAAGTAGTAGTAAGCAGTAGTAAGCAGTAGTAAGTAGTAGTAAGTAGTAGTAAGTAGTAGTAAGTAGCAGTAAGTAGTAGTAAGTAGTAGTAAGTAGTAGTAAGTAGTAGTAAGTAGTAGTAAGTAGTAGTAAGTATTAGTAAGTAGTAGTAAGCAGAGTGAGGTATAGTAAGTAGTAAGTATAGTAAGTATAGTAATTAGTAGTAAGTATAGTAAGTATAGTAAGTATAGTAAGTAGTAGTAAGTATAGTAAGTACAGTAAGTATAGTAAGTATAGTAAGTATAGTAAGTATAGTAAGTATAGTAAGTATAGTAAGTATAGTAAGTATAGTAAGTATAGTAAGTATAGTAAGTATAGTAAGTATAGTAAGTAGTAGTAAGTAGTAGTAGTAAGTAGTAGTAAGTAGTAGTGCTTAGTAGTACTTAGTAGTACTTAGTAGTACTTAGTAGCACTTAGTAGCACTTAGTAGTACTTAGTAGTACTTAGTAGTACTCAGTAGTACTTAGTTGTACTTAGTAGTACTTAGTAGTGCTTAGTAGTACTTAGTAGTTAGTAGTAGTTAGGTAGTAGGTAGTAGGTAGTAGGTAGTAGTTAGTAGTTAGTAGGTAGTAGGTAGTAGGTAGAAGGTAGTAGGTACGGCCACCGTTCGCAGCTTCCAGCCACCGTGTGAAATCCAAATATTTACCTATATCGACCGTCTTTCGCATTGGAAAATTTGGGTGTAGGATAGGTTGGGCTTCTGGCCCACAAAGCAGCAACGTGCAGTCCAGAGCCCGCAGCCTTTCTTGGATTCTGTTGTTGTTCCCAACACCAATCCAATGCTGATCATGGTACAACAAATCAACATGTTCCTTAAACAATCCTTCAAACGCACCCAAAACAAAAGAGCAGACGGGTGATTTTCCGGCATTGGGGTCGCCTGTGGTGAAAGCCCACCATCGGGCTTTGCAAGCAAAGGATTTCGAGTTGTCAGCATACACTGCAAATTCGCTGGCATGAAGCTAAGCAGTCTTGGAACAGGTCAACCCAATAGACCAGGTTAGACTATTTTTTTATCTATAACCTAAAATTTATCGTTTTAAGAAATTAGTCTAATTCCGCTAATTTTTAACTATTTTTTTATCTCTCGACGATAAAATTTTACTTTTCTACGGCTATTTTTACGACAAAAAAATAGCCGTATACGATAAAAAATAGTCGAAAAATAGTCGAATTCGACTATTTTTTATCGTAGGCACGGTTTCGAAAGTAGAAGTTTCCACTAAACTTCTGGTAAACTTCCACCTTTTTTGTGGAAGTTTTGTGGAAGTTTTGTACAAGTTTTGTGGAAGTTTTGTGGACTTTTTTTTGTGGAAGTGACACTTAAAAAGTGGAAGCTTCCACTTTTCTACCCTTAAAAAGTGGAAGGTTGGTAGCAGTTTAAGTGGAAGTTTCGTTCGGTTATAGATTTTAAAAAAAATGTCTAAAAAAATAACCGTACGATAAAAAAAAATAGCCGTAAAAAAATAACCGCACGATAAAAAAAAATAGTCGAAAAAAATAACCGTACGATAAAAAAATAGTCGATTTTTTCTTGCATATTTTAGATAAAAGACTATGTTTTATCTTTAATCTAAAGATAAAAAATAGTCTAACCGAGTCTTTTGGGCAAACACAAATACAGAAGGTAAACCACAAGCTGAATGCAAATACTCACTGGCAACTGCTAAGGGCAATATTGTGGTATAGCCAAAGACGCGGGGATGCCGTGATGCTTGCTCGATCGACATGTCCAAACCCCTCTGCTCCTGGATGCTAGCAAGGCAATCTGCGACAACTTCTGGCAATGTGTGGTCACGAATGTATCGGGCATACAGTGGCATTCTTTCCCAAACAAGTGGATCCAACGCCGCCTGAATTTGCAAAAGCGCAAAACCAACTGTGAGCTTCTGCTTCAGGATCCTTTAAAAAAACATACGGGTGGCATTGCGGTGCGTAGATTAGGCCGGCAAGTCCTCGGTTTCATTGCCATCTGGCGTTAGTGGGGACCAGGTTGGGGATGTTTCTGGAGCACGGAGGAGGGCAGGTGGCTGAAGAACGCCGTGACTTTGAAGACGGAACCGAAAGATTACGTGCAAGAGATGGCAACCTTGCACGGCTGGATGGCCACAGAGACAGCCCTGGCTGAAAACTGCTGATGCCTGGCGACAGTCTGGCAGGCCGTGGATGGGCGCATGCGGGCATGCTGCTGGAAGCAGACGCCCGCCGTACAGATCGATGGTCATGGGACTGGAACTGCATGCTCTGTTGTGTCGCCTATCTGACCTACATGCCCAATCTAGCGCAGCATCAATATTGTTTGGATACCTGGCAGCTGCATCTCGGGCTACAGGTAATGGTACCCCCTAAGGACAAGAGCACAGCAACCATTTCGTCGAGAGGACAGGCTTCGGGCGTCAATCCAGCACCGTCCATGCGAGGCAAATTCCTCGAACGGGAGATTCTTCCAGAACGGGAAAAAGAAGCAGCATGAGAATCGGAGGTTGGAACGGAAGAAGGTGCCAATGTTTCTGCAGGCTGGCCTGCTCTGAAAGAAGTGCTGGCTGATTGTTGAAGCACGTGTTGCTGGGTGGAAGAAGCAGAAGATTGCGTGCATACATCAATGGTGGGATGTGACGCTGAGCACCCTGCACCAAACTCCCTGCGTGAAGGGTAAACCGAATCAAGAGCTGCGTTTACATCATGTGGATACCTGGCAGCGGCATCTTGGGCAAGGGCCAAAGGAACTTCAAATGATAAAGAGTTGGCATCCAACGTGTGGCAAACAGAAGCACCGCCAAACTCACGACACAAGCCCTGTGAAATCGTGCAAGATACAGACGGAGAACTTTCTAGCTGCGCGGGTGTGTGTTCAAGGGAGCCTTCATCATGCTCATTACCGTCAAAGACATCTGCAACTTGCGAGCCTCCTTTCTCTTCGTCATAAAACCCATCTTGATTCTTCGGTTTAGCCGCTGTAGATACCCGCAAACACAAGCACCGCACAAACCAACACACCCACAAGCAAAAGGACGTGGCAACGAAATTTGACGAGACAATGGTGCAGCTGCTTCCACATGATGGCTGCTTGCCTCCCCAGCTTGCGTGGTAGTGGAATCATGGCTTCGATTAAAAACATGAGAAGCAGCGCCTATGTTAGGGCAAGGAGCGAACATCTCGTCATCATCTGCAGCTGGTGTAGAAGGCATACTCAGGTGACCACGTGCTTCAGCTACGCTGTCTTCTGACGGCGTGTCCACTATGGCTGGGACAAAACCGGCTCCACTCCACCCTAAGGACGAGCGACCGAAAGCAAAATCCAAAGCAGCGTGCCAATCTTCTGGGTGCTGTTCTGCTGCCAGGGACGCAACCGACGGTGGTATTCCAACTTGAATTAGCGCATCAAAGATTGCAGGCGGCTGACTTCCATCTTTGAACATTCCACCAAAGAATGAAGGCAAGCATGACATAGTGCTGGCAGTAGCAACAACTTTGCTTTCCAACACCTCCCCACGGAGAGATGGTAAGAATGTAGTTTTCTCAAGCCTTTCAAAATGGCCAGTACTTCCATTACACTCAGTATAAAGCAAGCATGGGCAGGATGCCCGAAGAAGGTCTGCAGAAACTGACAAGACACGAGGCAGAGAGCCGGGCTGATAGGACACAACACATTGGGACGGCTGGTGGAAAACGAAGCAGCCTTGTGCACGGTGGCATTTGCATGCCGTTCTGTTGTAAGCCCAGCTTCAGCAACCAATCCAGCTTCATGATGTGCAGGATGGTTGAGGTGATCCTGCAGCCACCCTGCAACTTTACAACATGCTGTGTCAGGTGGCCCGATGATGTCCTAGAAAAAAAAAAACAGATCAAAACAGTCTCCGTCCCCACTATTTGGCACCGCATGCCACACAGGCTCCAGAGTAGACGCGGCCGATTTTACGTGGCTTATCGCACCGTCAGGGCCCAAGGCCACTACATCCCCAGGCAGTTCTAGCAAAAATGAAATGTCCAGTGGGTGCGTGGGTGATGCTGTTTGTCCTGGGCTAGGCGAGTTCGAAGCAGCAGTTGCATCGTGTGAACTTGAACCGGTAGGAACCATAGTATGAAGACTATCTCCAACAACAGCATGAGAGCGCAAAGCAATGCTTTAAGCTGCAAAACACAAGGGCTAGGTTTGGAACGATGGGAAGATGATAGAAGTGCCAAAAAACATAGAACAGTAGCAAGCAGAAGCTAGAGTGAAAAGACCATCCAACAGATCTTTGGCACGGAAATGGCCCATAGACTTGCATGCTGAAGGAGGCGCAAAGGAGGAACTAACGACACAGCATTGAATTTGGCAACGTGCCAGACATGGATGGTGGTTTTGCTTGCAACCATCGCGGCGTTGGCAAGAAGTCCCTGCCGTGGAATGGGTCTTGCTCGCCAAAGATCGAGGCATGAAATCCAGGGAAATCCATGAAATCCAACAAATTCATGAAATCAATGAAAATACAGGTTGGCAGGTCCATGAAATCCATGAAATCCAGAGACAAAAAAAGGAAAGAAACCTCTTCTTCTCAATTTCTACTCCACACCTCTTCCGGCCTTTCAGTTACGCAGGGGCTCAACATGGCGTCAACCTGTGTGAAAGTGCCCCCCTTGGGGGCACTTCCCCCCCTGGTACCTCTCAGCAATTTCCTATAGTCATTCACTTGGTCTCAAGACTTCCCCTCTGGCCTCTAAACAACTTTTTGCATGCATCTCAACTTGGTTTCAATGTCTAAGCTTCCCCCCTTGTCTCTCAACAACTTCTTGCGCTCATCTATCTGGTTTCAATACCTAACTTTTCCCCCTGTGCCTCTCATCAAACTTCTTAAACTTCCTGCATTCATTGGGTTTCAATATCTATGCTCTCCAGGGAGTGCAGCGCGCCGCTCCTTGTGACACATTGGGTTTCCCACCCCTCTCCCATTCTGCCCTCTTCTTCTCAAATTCTACTCTTCACACCTCTGTGCCCCACTTGGGGGCATTCACCTGGTTTCAATATCTAAACTTCCCCCGCTTGTGCCTCTCAGCAATGTCCTGCATGGATTCATTTGGTTTCAAAACTTCCCCCTCTCGTCTCTTAACAACTTTTGCACGCATCTCAACTGGGTTTCAATGTCTAAGCCTAAGCTTCCCCTGTCTCTCAGCAACTTCTTGCGCTCATCTGGTTTCAGTACCTAACTTCCCCCTCTGTGCCTTCGTCAAACTTCCTAAACTTCCTGCATTCATTGGGTTTCAATCTCTATACTTCCCCCGTAGCCTCCCCATGCGTTCATCCCATTTCAACATCTAAGCTTCCTCCCCGGTGCCCCTCAACAACTCCCTGCATTCATCTTGCTTCAATATCCCCGGTGCCCCTCAGCAACTTCCTGCATTCATTTGGTTTTAGATCTGGTTCCCCCTTGACCTCGTCTAAAGTCCCCCCCACCTGTGCCTCTCAGCAACTTCCCGCATTCATGCGGTTTCAAGATCTAAGGGAGCCCCTCGTCTCTCCACAGCTTCTTGCATACACCGTCATGTGGGTTCAATATCTAGACTTTCGCTTCTCGTCTCAGCAACTTCCTGCGCTCATCCTTTTTTCGATGTCTAACTTCCCCCTCTCCCACCTGCCTCTCTTTCACCAATTTTCTGCGGTCATCTGGCTTCAATATCTACATGTTCCTCCAATTCTCTCAACACCTTCTTGCATGCTTCTTGTCTCAATATCTAAATTCCCCCCACCCCGTGCCTCGCAGCAGCTTCCGGCATTCATTTTTGGTCCCAAAACTTCCCCCTGCGTCTCTCAGCAATTTTTTGCATGTATCTTCATGTATCCTCAATTAGTTTCAATGTCTAAGCTTCACCCCTCATCTCTCAACAACTTTTTGCGCTCATCCGGTTTCAATATCGAACTTGCCCTTCCCCGTTTGTGCCTCTCAATTTCCTACATCCATTTCGCTTCATTCGTAGACTTCCCCCCATTGGCCTCTCCACCACTTCTTACGTTTTTGTTGTTTCAATATCCGAACTTCCCCTGCATCAGCAACTTCTTGCATGCATCTTGTCTCAATATCTAAATTTCCCTTCCCCTGTGCCAGGTCCAAAAAACCATGTACAGGTTCAAAAAAAGAAGGCGCCACGGTCCAAAAAAAAATCCAGCCCAATGTGAGCGCCTATAACAACGGAGTTCCCCCCCCACCCTTTGGAGGCAAGGTTCGCGAAGTAGGTGCACGGGTCCAAAAAACAGAAACCGAGGTCAGAAACAATTAATTTGGCTGTCTAATAAAATTTCCCTGGGTCCAGCACAAATACATGCAGGTCCAAGAAAAATATCTTCACAGGGTCCAGAAAACACACAGGCACGTCGCCCCACATTTTTTGTGCCCCCAGGTCCCGAAAAAAATCCGGCCAGGTCCAAAAAACATGTGCGGGTCCAAAAAAAAGAAAAAACATGCATCCCGATTTACTGCGTACCTCGCAGGCCGAACGAAAAAATGCGGAACGTGTACAGTCGACGGAGCAACGCAACAAGCAGCACTAAAAGAACGTGCCCGGCAGTTTCATGATCTTTGGGACCCCATGTTGGAGCGGAATCAATGAAACAATCGATGAATGCACCCAAACACTCAGCCTTGGCCGCAAAGGCGTGAATGAACACCTGCTGCTTTCCGATGCTATTCGTTCCTGGCTTCAGGGCAAAAAGACAGTGCCTATCTCTTCACTTGCAGTGTCAAGCTGGTTGTTTGCCGGCTGTGACCGATGTCCACAATGAGAATTGCCACAGCTTTGGCTAACCCTGGATAGCCCGTGATAGCATACCCGGATATACCCGGCCTTTTCACCACGCATGGGGGGCGAGCCCAGCACCACTGACGCAAGCGAGTCCCGGGTCAAAGCGTTCAAGGCTTGCTGCAAGCGTGGATCCTCCTGGAGAAAACTTGGCACGACGGCTGCACGGCGATGAAGCATATTTTATTACCATGCCCATCCCTTCACTGATGACGCCTGTCTGATGCCGTAGAAGGCCAAGAAGCTATTGAAGGTCCGTGCTTCCTCTGGAAGGAGAAAATACACATCCATGCAAATGATTTAGATGTAATGTGGCAAAACAAGGAGCTTTCAGTATTCATGACAAACAGCTGGGCAGCGTCGCCTGGGGGTCTACACGACACAAGACCAGTAGCCTTTTCACGCAAAGCCTCGGGCACGAGTCTACTTGTTTTGAGCTGGATCGCGACGTGTCAATCAAACAGGTCAAACAGGACTTTTCCTTGCAGAACGGTTAAGTTTTGTTCGCACAATTGTTCAACTACTTAAGTCGCACTTGGGCAGTGCACATTGCTACATGCGTCTGCTTTTCCTAGAAATTTGATTTCCAATCAAACTGGGGCGTTTTGAGCTTGGCACTCACCATATTCCTCTGGAGCTGTCTGCAAAGGAAGAGGTCCAATAGCATTCATCGCCACGGCAAAAACATCGCCTCAGTACAAAGGACAAGGGTGGTAGTATTCCTCGAGATTAGTTTGCCAAATCACACAATGAGTCGAGTCTCCAGCAGTACCACGGTGTCCAGAGACATTCTGCCTTCCTCTGTCCCTTTTTCCCGAGAGCGTCTGAGCGAAGGCTTCTTCTAATAGTGGAGGTCTGCTATACAACTTCATATGTTCACACCTTCATCACACCTTCACATCTTCTCATCTTCACATCGTCATCACATCTTCTCATCTTCTCATCGTCACATCTTCACTCTCTCTCTCTCTCTCTCCCTCTCCCCCCCTTGCCCTCTGTCAGGGTCTCTCTCCTTCTTTTTCTCTTCTCTCTTTAGGCCGCGGGCGGTGAGGAAGCGCCACGAAATAGCCACCCTTTCGCACGAAATGAGGTTCGAGTGTCAAACACTGAGTGTTTTTTGCAAGTTTTGGAATGCGGTGTGTGCCAAAGGGTTTGTGTGTAAAAGTGTCTGTGTGTAAACGCTTCTGTGTGTAAAAGCTTCTGTGTGTAAAAGCTTCTGTGTGTAAAAAAAAGCTTCTCAGTGTAAAGCAACTGTGTGTAAAAGCGTCTGTGTGTAAAAGCTTTTGTGTGTGAAAGCTTCTATGTGTAACAGCGTCTGTGTGTAAAAGGGTTTGTGTGTAAAAGCGTCTGTGCCTAAAAGCTTTTGTGTGTAAAAGCGTTCGTGCGAAAAAGCGTTTGTGCGTAAAAGTGTTTCTGTGTAAACGTGTTTCTGTGTAACCGCGTTTGCGTGTAAACATGTTTTTAGAAGCGTTGGTGTGTAAAAGTGTTTGTGTTTAGAAGTTGAGGAGAAGGATGAGGATGAGGATGAGGAGGAGGATGAGGAGGATGAGGAGGATGAGGAGGAGGATGAGGATGAAGATGATGATGATGGTGATGGTGATGGTGATGTGATGATGATGATGATGATGATGATGATGATGATGTGTGTAAAAGCTTCTGTGTAAAAGCTTCTGTGTGTAAAAGGCTTCTGTGTGTAAAAGCATCTGTGTGTGAAAGCTCTTGTGTGTAAAAGCTTCTGTGTGTAAAAGTGTCTGTGTGTAAAAGCGTCTGTGTGTAAAAGGGTTTGTGTGTAAAAGGCTTTGTGTGTAAAAACGTTTGTCTGTAAAAGCGTTTGTGTGTAGAAGCATTCGTGAGTAAAAGCATGTGTGCGTAAAAAGTGCTTCTGAGAAAAGTGTTTCTTTGTAACCGCGTTTCCGTGCAAACGTGTTTGTAGAAGCGTTGGTGTGTAAAAATGTGTGTGTGTAAAAGCGTCTGTGTAAAAGCGTCTGTGTCTAAAAGCATTTGTGTGTAAAAGCGTGTGCGTGAGTGTAAAAGCGTTCGTGTAAAAAAGTGTTTGTGCCTAAATGTGTTTCTGTGTAAAAGGGTTTGTGTGTAAAAAGCTTCTGTGTGTAAAAGCGTCTGTGTGTAAAAGGCTCTGTTTGTAAAAGTGTCTGTGTGTAAAAAAGTCTATGTGTAAAAGTGTCTTTGTGTGTAAAAATGTCTGTGTGTAACAGTGTCTTTGTGTGTAAAAGCGTCTGTGTGTAAAAGCGTCTGTGTGTAAAAGCGTCTGTGTGTAAAAGCGTCTGTGTGTAAAAGCGTCTGTGTGTAAAAGTGTCTGTGTGTAAAAGCGTCTGTGTGTAAAAGCGTCTGTGTGTAAAAGCTTTTGTGTGTAAAAGCGTCTGTGTGTAAAAGTGTCTGTGTGTAAAAGAGCTTGTTTGTAAAGGGATCTGTGTCGTACCTGAGTGTAAAAGTGTCTGATGTAGATTTTTTTATATACTTTTCTTCGATTTTCATCTTAAAGCTTTGACATGTTCTCTTTTTCTTCTCGTCTGCCTATAATATATCTTTAACATTTTGTCTTGATACTAACAACAGAAGAAATTGCTCATGTACGCTCTCGGGCCATCCGTCGTCTAGTTTCACATTTCCGGCGGTGCAGTCCTAGTGCTTGCTAAATTCCCGTTTTATTTGTCTATCCTTCGGCTATCATTTTTCACCAAGAAACGTCCCTGAAGAATTATGTCAAATGCCAGATGACCAAGTGAAACTATGCTAACTCACATCCACATAGACATGTTATTTCTGGTCTGGTTCACTCCAACTTAGACCTTACTTTCAAGGGCATCTTGCTGCGCATTCCGCCAGGGTTTTGGCACGTTCATTCCCATCAGCATTGGCCCATGCAGTGATGGGATCTTAATGAGTCCCAGTTGCCGAGCTCCTTCTTGTCTGGCCAGGGCAACTTTTCTGCCTCCTCCACCAGTCTCAAGATCTGTCTCACATCACCTGGCAGGGCCAAACTGATTGAACAAATGGATACGAAATGATACGAAATGATACGAAATGATACAAATGGTGGTTGAACTGCTGTGTGTCGGCTTTCATCCAGTGGCACAGCCACCTGAACGTGTGAGGTCTGCCACCTTACAAATCTAATGAACTGACAGATTTCGAATCACAAACCATGAGCGCATCCAGAAATTGATACGAAAACCATTCCATTGAAAATTCTATTCAAAGTTCAAACCTGTTTTCTCACATCGCCAATGCTGTGGACTGGAGCCGGTGAGTGCATGCCAGTTAGTGCATCTCTATTATCCCATTCGCATTCACCCTGTTGGAAAGATCTGATGAAAATCAAACACTTCCTGCTGGAGACAAAGCCATCTATCATCTATCATCATCTATCGTGAAATTCACAAAAATATACCAGAACCTGTGCACAAAGTAAGAGTTTCCTGTCAGTTTCTTGTCACATCTGTCACAACAGCTGGTGGAATCCTGTGGATCGCCTGCAGCTTGTCTCAAGTTTCGCTTGATGTAGCTCCTGCCAGTCATGGCCAATTTTCTGGCCTCACCTCAGTCGAAATTCTTTGCGAAGACTGCCACCCGGAATACTTCACCTCATCTCCGGAATACTACATTGAACTGCCAGTGTATCCGATACGGACCGACAGTCGCAAGACCAGTCCAAGCTTCATGTAGCTCATCCAAAAAAAAACGTAGTCAGTTTGAGGTCAGTGCTGTTGAACTCAGACACTTGCTCAACCAGAAAATATACAAATCCTACTGGCCGCCCTGCTCGTAGATTCTTCGGAAAGATTGTGCGGGTATGTTTATCCGCGATTGCCTTCTGAGACGTGCTCTGACAGGACTTTGATGAAAGGACCTCTCTTGGCTCAAATAGCCAAAAAATATGTTGGAAATAAGGTTCAAAATTCCCAAGAAGCAATACAATCCTAGGACTAGTGTGTGCAATAAACAAGGAGTTCTTAAAGATTGCTTTGTTCCGTCCATACTTCCATCTAAGCCGAACTGGCCATATTTGCAGAGTGGGCGATATGGTGCAGGATCACGCGAACCCCAAATATAGAAGTTTTGCAAGAGCATGCAAGAGCAAACCACGGACCAGAGACATCAAACATGAGACTGACTACCTTTCAGGTCCGGAGTGATTGACTAACTGTTTTTGGAACAAGTGATATCAAGCATGTCAAAAAATGTGTGAGTTGCGCTTTCGGGCTTTTCTGCATGGTTCTTCGATAAGCGCTCAGGGCTGTGTTGAAGCTGCGCTTGTCCCGAGGAAGCTGCCTCTGGCAAAGTTCACTCTTTTCAGTATCACTTTGTTACTGCGACTGGTATCCATCAGCAAAATTGTCAACCAAGACTTCAAGTTCAAAGATCCAAAGGGTGGTCAAACGAATAGGCTGGCTCTCCAAACTTCAAGACATTCAGACTGCAAGCGCAAATCTTCGCCTGCACTCGATTTCTTCCAACAAGCTCAAGGCCTTAGCCAGATCGGAATGCAGGAACGCAGTCTTCCTGGCAGTTGGAGACCCAGCGCAACTTGACAGGTCAGAACTCAGACTGGTGCAATCTGCCAATTGTTGCCTCCAGAAAAGGTATGAAAGCTGTGGAGGCTGATGCAGGTTCACTGGCTGGATCGAATGTTCCCGCTGGAAATAAAATCGAAATACTTTATATATATATATATATATACTATGTATATATACAGGGCACCCGCAGCTTGGGTAAGACATTTCGCGCTGACGCTGACGACGCATTGTGACGACACATTGGCGATGCCCCCGGCCCCCCTGACGACGCATTCTGACGACACATTCCCTGACGACACGTTGCCCCCTGACGACGCATTACCCCCTGACGACGCATTGTGACGACACATTCCCTGACGACGCATTGCCCCCTGACGACACATTTAACCCCTGACGACGCATTGTGACGACACATTACACGCATTCCCTGACGACGCACGACGCATTGCCCCCTGATGCCCCCTGACGACGCATTACCCCTGACGACGCATTGTTGACGACACCATTCCTGACGACGCATTGCCCCCTGACGACGCATTACCCCTGACAACGCATTCTGACGACACATTCCCTGACGACGCATTGCCCCCTGACGACGCATTGCCCCCTGATGACGCATTACTCCCTGACGACGCATTACCCCCTGACAACGCATTGTGACGACGCATTCCCTGACGACGCATTGCCCCCTGACGACGCATTACCCCCTGACAACGCATTCTGACGACACATTCCCTGACGACGCATTGCCCCCTGACGACGCATTGCCCCCTGATGACGCATTACTCCCTGACGACGCATTACCCCCTGACGACGCATTGTGACGACACATTCCCTGACGACGCATTGCCCCCTGACGACGCATTACACGCTGACGACGCATTCTGACGACGCATTCCCTGACGACACGTTGCCCCCTGACGACGCATTACCCCCTGACGACGCATTGTGACGACACATTCCCTGACGACGCATTGCCCCCTGACGACGCATTACCCGCTGACGACGCATTGTGACGACACATTCCCCTGACGACGCATTGCCCCCTGACGACGCATTGTGACGACACATTCCCTGACGACGCATTGCCCCCTGACGACGCATTACCCCCTGACGACGCATTGTGACGACACATTCCCTGACGACGCATTGCCCCCTGACGACGCATTGTGACGACACATTCCCTGACGACGCATTGCCCCCTGACAACGCATTACCCCCCTGACGACGCATTGTGTGTATATTATTGCCTGACGACACATTGCCTGTTGACAGGCTAGGCATGACGAGCAAGGGCGCAGGCGTACTGTATTCTTTGTATGTGGGAAGATAAATAGAGGAATGTAGAGAGGAAGAGGGGCCGGAGGGCAGATAGGGATTTGGCCTGACCACCAAGGCTAGGTTATGTCGAAATATAAAGCGTAGAGGTAATTATCAAGATCGTCTGGCGTGCTTTTGCAACCTCAGTTGAAGATCCTTGAGGCAAGGATCAATCACTAAGTTGAAGTAGTAGAACCTTCTTATCTTCTTACCAAACCCAAACGAAGAGAGCGCCGGAGTGTTCCAGGAGAAAGCTCAGGAAGTTCAATGAAAAAGTATTGAGCGTGTAGCATTGAGAACATGCGGGAGTTGAGCGCGTAACATCAAGAGCCTGCTGGAAGTTCCAAGGCTAAAAGATGCTAAAAGCATAGCACAGGAGGCTAGCATCAAGAGAACGCTGGCAGTTCCAAGAGGAAGTCAAGAGCGTAGCACCAAGAGCCTGTTGGAAGTTCCAAGAGAAACCTAAGCGAGCAATACCAAGAGAGCGTGTTGAAGGACCAAGAAAAACCTAAGAGTCTAGCATCCAGAACGTGTTGGAGGTCAGAGCGTAGCACCAAGCGAAGAACAAAAGAGCGTAGCAACTAGAGCGTCCTGGCGTGTTCCAGAACAAAGCTAAGAGCGTAGCAGGAAGAGCGTGACTTTCTCCAGACCGCAGCGTCAAGAGGCGGAGCGTAGCACCAACAAGAGCGCGTTGGAAGTTCCAAGAAAAATTATAAGAGCGTATCATCACGATTGTGGTGGACCGTAGCGTCAACAGCATCTTGGACTGTTCCAAGACGAGGTTCAGCGCGTAGCATCAAGAGAGTGTCAGAGCCGGAGCCAAAAACGTAGCATCAAGAGCGTGTTTTAATTCAATGCGTCACAAAAAGAAGAAAAAATAGCGCGCCATGCTTCATGAGAAGCCAAGGGCGTAGCGTCAAGAGCGTGCTGGCACGTCCCAGGACAAGGCAAAGAGAAAGTGTTGGAAGATAAAACACACCAAGAGCGTGTTGGAAGTTCCAATAGACAGCTAAGAGCGTAGCATCAAGAGCTTGCCGGACTGGCCCAGGAGAAAGCTAAGAGATGCTCAGAGCGTAGCAGCAAAAGCGTGTCGGAAAACCCAAGATTAAGCCAAGAGCGTAGCACCAAGAGCTTGTTCGAACTTCCAAGAGAAAATTAGCATAGCATTCAAGAGGCGACTGTCTCCAGAGCGTAGCGTCAAGGGCGTGCTGAAGCGCCTCAGGTGAAGGCCAAGAGCGTAGCATCAAAAGAATTTTCAAAATCTCAAAGAGCAAGCCCAGAGGCTATAGCATCCAGAGCATTTCGTTTGTTACTCTTCCCTTTCGTTTTGTCTTCCCTTCTGTTCCCTACGTCGCTCCTTTCGTTTTAACTTCTGCTCCGTTCGTTACTTCCTCCCCATTGTTTCATCTTATTCGTTCACCTCTTTCTCTCATTTAAAGGCGTTCATTTCGCGAAGTCCGTCGTTTCGCTCAAATCTTCTGTCCTGTTCTTCCTGCTCTTCCTTTCCTGTCAACTCGTCCTTTTCATTGCGTCCGTCTTTTTGTTGCAACTCTTCCCTTCCATTCGTTGCTTCCTTCCTTTCGTTTCAACTCTTTGTAATCCCGTTCGCTGCTTCTTTCGTATATACGTCGTTCCTTCCGCTTTAAATCGGTTTAACTCTTCCCTTCCGTTCGCTACTTCCTCCCCCTCGTTTCAACGCTTCCATCCTGTTCATTTACAGTACCTCTTCCTTTCATGTCAATGCGTTCATGTCGCTATTTCCTTCCTTTTTTCAAGTCTTACATGCGGTTTGTTTATCTCTTCCTTTTTTCCAAGTTGTTCATTTCGTTACCTCCTTCGTTATAGTCATCATGATCGGTGTTGGGGTCCATAAACCAACCCTTGAAACCGTGACCATGGTTCCGCCAGTTCCTGGAACTGGGGGCCCGGTTCCTAACATGACAGGCCCTTGTAGGGAAAATATGCAAGTGAACCAAACAAAGACGTCCGTTATATGGTGAAAACCCACCATGGACAAAAAAATGTCCCTACCGTTTGCCAAAATAAAAACTAGATGCATATATGACATGCATGTAGGCTTTGAGTGTATGCATGCTTTTCTCCCAAGTCCTTGGTGAAAAAGTCGTCTTCGGGGGGCAATTCGTCTTCGGGGAATTCGTCTTCGGAATTCGTCTTCGGGGGGGAATTCGTCTTCGGGGGGCAATTCGTCTTTGGGGAATTCGTCTTCGCAATTCGTCTTCGGGGGGCAATTCGTCTTCGTGGAATTCGTCTTATTCGCAATTCGTCTTCGGGGGGCGGAATTCGCTTCGGGGGAATTCGTCTTCGCAATCGTCGTAGGGTGGGAATCGTCTTCGGGGGGAATTCGTCTTCGGGGAATTCGTCTTCGCAATTCGTCTTCGGGGGGGAATTCGTCTTCGGGGGGCAATTCGTCTTCGGGGAATTTGTCTTCGGAATTCGTCTTCGGGGGGGAATTCGTCTTCGGGGGGCAATTCGTCTTCGGGGAATTCGTCTTCGCAATTCGTCTTCGGGGGGGAATTCGTCCTCGGGGGGCAATTCGTCTTCGGGGAATTCGTCTTCGCAATTCGTCTTCGGGGGGGAATTCGTCTTCGGGGGGCAATTCGTCTTCGGGGAATTCGTCTTCGGAATCCGTCTTCGGGTGGGAATTCGTCTTCGGGGGGCAATTCGTCTTCGGGGAATTCGTCTTCGTAATTCGTCTTCTGGTGGGAATTCGTCTTCGGGGGGCAATTCGTCTTCGGGGAATTCGTCTTCGGAATCCGTCTTCGGGTGGGAATTCGTCTTCGGGGGGCAATTCGTCTTCGGGGAATTCGTCTTCGTAATTCGTCTTCGGGTGGGAATTCGTCTTCGGGGGGCAATTCGTCTTCGGGGAATTCGTCTTCGTAATTCGTCTTCGGAATTCGTCTTCGTCTGCGGGTGGAAATGTCTTACCCGCACAGCGGGCACAATGTATATATATATATATATTATGTATGTATATATATATATATTATGTGTATATATATATATTATGTGTATATACATTAGGGGTCGAAATTAAGCTGGCATTTTTTTTGTGGCATTTTTTTTTGTGGCATGTTTTTTTTTGTCGTCCAGGCTCCCTTCCTTGGTTCTTGCAGCTAAAATCTTTCATTTGCTGCATTTTGTAGCTAAAATCTCTCATTCGTACTGTTCATCAATTTGTCCACTGGTTTCAGGATTTGTTTCATGGTTTTTATCTCGTTTTCCATTGTTTTCATTGGTTTGTCCATGATGTTCTTCAATTTTTCCATGGTTTTCTTCAATTGTTCCATGGTTTCTTCAATTTTTCCATGGTTTTCTTCAATTGTTCTATGGTTTTCTTCGATTGTTCCATGGTTTTCTTCCACTTTTCAATGGTTTTCTTTAAATATTTCTATGTGTTCTTTTTATTTGTGCATGGTTTTCATTCAGTTTTCACTTGTTTTTATTGATTGTTCCAGAGTTTTCATTGAGTTTTTATATGACTAATCATGACTATATGTATATGTAGATCAGTGTATTTACACGTGTATTTAATATATATATATATGCAGGGTTTGGTTTAGGGTTTATTTGGGGTTGGTTTATGGTTTCTTCTAGATTTGTTTAGGGTCTATTTAGGGTTGGTTTAAGGTTTCTTTAGGGCTGGTTTAGGGTCTGATCAGGGTTTGTTTAGGGTTGGATTAGGAGTCGGATACAACATGTTACATACAAATAACTATAATTATGTGGATGCATATCCATGCGCATGATTATTTATAGTTTATTTTGGGATGAAAGCTGTGTATATAAACAACCATAAATATGTATATACATATTTAAATGTGTATATATATATATATGTGTGTACATATATATCTATAAGTATATGTATGTGTATTTATGTATATATATATATGTATGTATATATGTATGTATATATTGCAATATATGTATATATATATATATATATATGTATATATATATATGTATATATATATGTATATATATATGTTATTATATATATGTTATTATATATGTATACATATGTATATATATATCTATATATGTGTAGAGTCGAATCAAACTAGCATATTGAAAAGTTTGCAAGTTTGAATTTAAACAATAATTAAAAAAAGGGGGGGAGGGGGGGATTGGGGGGAAGGGCTGAACAAGGGCGCAGCGCCTCCCCCCCAAAGCAGATTGGAAACACCTATTTTCACATGCAAGGTGCTGGGTTGAATGTGATACTCAAGGTGTATATACTACACGACATGCACCCTGCAAACATGTGGAATGTAGGTTAAGGCACAACGATGCACAATAGTTTCATTGGATGTTATCATCGTCTTGGTTTAAGATCTCTTTATAAAAGGTTGGTGTGCTGTATATTCTGGGTTGGTTCAGGGGTGGCTTGGGCTTTGAACATCATCTCGATGATAATGCAAACCTTTTAGATAGATAGATATAGATCTAGATCTAGATGTAGATATAGATATAGATAGATTTCAATAGATCTGGATAGATATAGACATAGATATAGACATAGATAGATATAGATAGGTATAGATAGAGTTTATAGATATAGATAGAGATAGAGATAGATGGATGAAACATGCACCTGGTGAACATGCTTCACTGATAGATTGATCGATAATAGAAGAGCCATAGGAGCCATAGAAGACATAGAAGCCGCAGAAGCCGCAGAAGCCACAGAAGCCACCAGGAGCCACCAGGAGCCACCAGGAGCCACCAGGAGCCACCAGGAGCCATGGAAGCCACAGAAGCCACCAGGAGCCACCGGAGCCACCAGGAGCCACCAGGAGCCAACAGGAGCCACCAGGGAGCCATGGAAGCAACACAGAAGCCACCAGGGGCCACCAGGGAGCCACGGAGCCACCAGGAGCCACCAGGAGCCACCAGGAGCCACCCAGGAGCCATGGAAGCAACAGAAGCCACCAGGAGCCACCGGAGCCACCAGGAGCCACCAGGGAGCCACCAGAGCCACCCAGGAGCCACCAGGAGCCACCCCACCAGGAGCCAGGAGCCACCAGGAGCCACCAGGAGCCACCAGGAGCCACCAGGAGCCACCAGGAGCCACCAGGAGCCACCAGGAGCCACCAGGAGCCAGGACCAACAAAAAAATGCCAAAAAACAAACTATATTATTATTATTATTATCATTATTATATATATATAATATTTAAAAAATAATAATACTATATATATATATATTATATTATATATATATATTTATATTGTATATTATATAGACATATATATTATTTCATATAGATTATACATTAAATATTGTTTTTTATATAATTATATAATATTAAATATAAAATAAAATATAATATATATTTAGAGACTAACAACCTATGTGGGGATATACCCCCAGAATATGGCCAAAAATATGGTACAGTACATCCATTTTAGGATCCTGAAATTCCCATTGAACATATGTTTTACCCTTTGGATTGAACTGTGCTAGTGCTCTCAGGAAACAGCCTTGGCCCGGAATGATCAAACTTGCTGAGAAGGTTCGGCATGGTTTTCTTGAATGAATGGGTCTGCCTCTTTGCCCTACACCAGCCTTGAGCACAAGCCTGCAATGCAGCTTCATAGCTACGAATTCCAGGGTTTTCTGCCTCAGGAGAATCTTGTATCAGATGTATAGATTCTAGCAGCCACATCCAGCTACCAAAAGAACGATTGGGTTTAATTGTTGTTTCGTGACGACAAAAGCTTTGGCCTCAAGATTGGTGCAACACGGTTTTTCGGCAGGGTAATTCAGCAATTATCAAATAGCATCGCTGAAAGACAAGAAAATTTGGAAGAATCGTCTCACCACCAACCCTGAGAGTCCTTACATTTGCCTGCTGGAATTCAGCCTGAAATAGCTGCAATGCCTCAGCAACGACCCAACAGCAACCATGACACTCAACAACCATTCGCTTCATTCGATTCACAAACTGTCTTGAAACATAACAATTTGTTTTGATGTGGACTGGGCCAGACTATGAGGTCAAACATTGTTTCAGCCCAGCTCAAAAGGTGAATGAGAATCTGACAACTGAATTCACTGAATTAACAGGTTACACTTCTCGATTTGCGACTCACAAGCAATGCGCTCAGCAAACAAACGTCAAGCAAATCTCAAACTCAGAAATGTAGCAGTCTCGATTTCTGCGTGTCAACATGTTGTGCAGGGGTCATGCTAATCTTCAAACTGAACAGTTGACGGTCAAGATTTGGCCGCTGTTTCAAGAGTTTATATAGACCCATCCTTCCGGGTACCCCTACAGGAGAGTTGCCAGATTTGTTTGGACATCGTCCAACAAAATTGCAAAAGACCGTAGGGCAGTGGTTTCAAGGGCAGAGGTTCAAGCGGGGACAACATATTGACATCATATTCATATAGTTTGAGCCTTTGCTAAACCGGGAGAATCTGTTCCCAAACTTCATTTTCTGCATGTCACACTGCATGCTTTCTATGCCTTCAAAAGGGCTCCGACCTCAATCCAGCGAGTAGCATTTGCCAAAGCTAATACGACCTGAGCATCGTCGCTCCAACGGTGCCATCCCAATCCCACCTCCCGAAACGTACCAATCCGAACGTATCAAAGCCGGTACCCTCTGGTAAACTAACATAGCTATTGAACATTGCCATTTATAGTGGATTTTCCCATCAAAAATTGTGATTTTCCATAGTTATGTTAGTTTACCAGAGGGTATGCATTCCCAATCCTTTTTGGTGACTGAAAAAGTGCACTCTGAGATCTGCGGCAGCCCCAGCGCCAGGTTCCGAAGTATAGCCCAACATTCGAAGTCTGCCAAAAACCGACAAAGCCGCCTTCCAGACGAGGAGTATTGACAAACATCCCACTAAGTTGCATATGCTGCACAATGTGTTTATACAAGTATCTGGATGTATTTTGTGTTTTCATACGTGGTGTGATGGACGCTCGAAAATGTGTTCAGGAATTGTAAACTCTTTCATGTTCACTGGCAACTAAAGCTGTGCTGGATGACCAGAAAGGGTGCAGAATAAATAGTTTTTGGATTTTTTTGTTGGCTCAGGTTTTGGAATTTTTGTTGGTTTTCTTTCCTGGTACTATCTGCCTTGTATTTGCAACAGTTTGGAACTAGAATCTGTCATTTTGCATGGTATTTGCTACATTTTCGCAAGGTCACTTTGCATTTTGCATGGTATTTGCTACATTTGGCCATGTTTGCCTTCCATTTTGCATGCTATTTTCCACGTTTTGGCACTTCAACCTCTCATTTGCCTGGTATTTGCTACATTTTGGTACTTCAAACGTTCATGTGGGTTTCTTGAGAGTTTCTTTAGGAATTCATTTAGGGTTTCATTTAGGGTTTCTTTAGGGTTTCATTTACTGTAGGGTTTCATTTAGGGTTTCATTTAAGGTTTCTTTAGGGCTTCATTTAGGGTTTCATTTAGGGTTTCATTTCAGGGGTAATTTAGGGTTTCTTTAGGCCTAGGGTTTCTTCAGAGTTTCGTTTAGGGATTCATCTAGGGTTTCTTATCAGGATTTCTTATCAGGATTTCCAAACGTTCATGTGGGTTTGTTCAGGGCTTCTTTAGGGTTTCATTTAGGGTTTCTTTCGGGTTTCATTTAGGGTTTCTGTAGGGTTTCATGTAGAGTCTCATTTAGGGTTTCTTTAGGGTCTCATTTAGGGTTTAATGTAGGGTTTCTTTACGTTTAGGGTTTCTTTAGCTTTAGGGTTTCTTTAGAGTTTCGTTTAGGGTTTCTTTAGGGTTTCATGTAGGGTTTCTTATCAGGATTTCTTATCAGGATTTTCAAACGTTCATGTGGTTTTCTTTAGGGCTTCTTTAGGGTTTCATTTGGGGCTTCATTTAGGGTTTCTTTAGGGTTTCATTTCAGGTTTCATTTAGGGTTTCTGTAGGTTTATGGTTTCTTTAGAGTTTCGTTTAGGGTTTCTTTTGGGTTTCATTTAGGGTTTTTTAGAGTGTCGTTTAGGGTTTCTTTAGGATGTCATTTAGGGTTTCATTCAAAGTTTCTTTAGGATTTCTTTAGGGTTTCTTTGGGTTTCACCTAGGGTGTTTACAAACTGGAGAGAATAAAGCAAAAGAAAAGAAAAAACAAAGAGGCAGTAAAGACAGGAAGCAGAGCAGCAGAGGAGCAGGAAGTAGAGTCGTAAAAACACATGACTGAAGAAAAGAAAAAGTAGAATAGTAGAAGTAGAAAGGCACAGAAGCACAAAAGCAGAAAAGCAGAGAAGCAGGGAGAGCAGAGAAGCAGAAAAGAAAAGAAGCACATCAGGGTAAAGCACAAAAGCAGAAAAGCAGAGGAGCAGGGAAAGCAGAGAAGCAGAAAAGAAAAGAAGCAGGTAAAGCAGAGAAACAGACAAGCAGAGAAGCAGACAAGCAGAGAAGCAGGAAAGCATAGAACCAGGAACCCAAAAATAATTCCAAAACCTGCCGAAACAAAAATACCAAAAATAAACAGCCCTCCATTGTATATACAACAAACCTGCTTGGTCGGTATCCAAAGCCCATGCCAGTGTCCAGACCCTTCACCGCCTCCCAATTTCCAGCCCTGCGACAGGCATCGATGCTGGCAGAGAGAACAGCAACCTGGCGAAACCCAGCGCCCCAGCTGCTGTCTTGGACAAGTTGAAATGTTCTTGGACTGTTGGAATACAAAAGATTGTAAAAAAAGAAAAACATATCACTTGCGTGTGGTTCAAAGCGAGCCGATAAAAAATGAAATCGTGTACTTATGTCCCATGTTCTGTGGCCGTTGTACTTAGCGATTTCTGAGGTCAGGCTAGGCGACGGCAGTCTATGCTCTAAAGACACCGCCAGCTTTACATCTTGGGCAAGTTCACCTGACCCATTTGCAATCACCAGTGCCTGGAGTATTGCACTCAGAACGATCTCATTGTACCCTCAACGATTTCTGAAAAATGAATTTGAAGATTTCAGTGCTATGGTACGGCGCATTATGGTAAAGTATGGTACAGTATGGTGCACGTTGGTACAACATACAGTGTAACACAAGTAAACCAACATAAGTAGACATAAGTTGCATCCACATCCCATCATTTTGAAGACAACTGTTGCACATCGATCCGTACCTGTTGCCATTGGAAGGCTCGGCCACATGCAGCAACTGCAGCGCTCACCACATGTTCAGCATCAAGCCTCAGTGCATCATGGCGACCTTTAGTCCTGAGGACCAAGTTCGCACAAGTTCGCACAAGTTACCATCTGGTTATGACTAACATAGCCATGGAAAATCACCATTTTTAATAGGTAAACCATCTATAAATGGGCCATTTTCCATGGCTATGTTAAATAACCAGAGGGTAAGAATATGTTAAGAATGCAACCCAGAAGATTTTGCTTTTTTCAGAAAGTAAAGTGCCAGCTCCCATGCACTGCCTTCAGGGATGCTGAGCTGGGCAAATGACCTAAAATCAAATCCTGGGCCTGAGACAAAGTAACCATAATCAAAAGTTTTGCTTCGCGGAGCCTTTGCTGGAAGCAGACAAGATCATTGAGTAGGTGATATCCTGAAGTGATTGCGTCACATGATGTGAATTAAACCCGTCCAAGTCATCAACTCATTGTCCTCATGTTTTTGGTGCCGGCTAGTGGCCTTTTCTCTACATTGCTTATGTACTTGTCCATTATGTCGTGGTGGGGTCGGTTTGGGGGGGTGGGTTGGGGCAATAACGTCCTGGCTCTTGCGTACTTATTATATTTAATTAGTTGATGCTATGTCACAAGAACTTCTCTAGACTTCATGCTATGTTTGGATGGTTTCTCTTGTTCTTCTTAAAGAACTTCCAGCTACGCTAAGATGTCAATTAGTTGATGCTGTGTCACAAGAACTTCTATAGACTTCATGCTACGCTAGGATGGTTTATCTTCTTCTTCTTAAAGAACTTCCAGCTATGTTAAGAAGTAGTTGATGCGTTGATGCTATGTCACAAGAACTTCTCTAGACTTCATGCTAGGCTAGGATGGTTTCTCTTGTTCTTCTTAAAGAACTTCCAGCTATGTTAAGATGTCAATTAGTTGATGCTGTGTCACAAGAACTTCTATAGACTTCATGCTACGCTAGGATGGTTTATCTTCTTCTTCTTCTTAAAGAACTTCCAGCTATGTTAAGAAGTAGTTGATGCTATGTCACAAGAACTTCTCTAGACTTCATGCTAGGCTAGGATGGTTTCTCTTGTTCTTCTTAAAGAACTTCCAGCTATGTTAAGATATATATATATATACACCATGTGAAGAAAGCTGGAATTCAGCAGTGTGACAGAATCTGGGAACACCTTAAGAAGTCCATCCCCAAATCAGTCAACAGTCGATCCTGTGCCACAAGTATGGCAAAAGCAAAGTTTGAAGCGGCCCCCTCGCTTGAAAAAAGAGTGCGAAGTCTTGGAAGGGTTATCAAAAATGGGATCTGCAGGGAACCCTTCCAATGGTTTTGAGACCTTTTCCAACATCGATTCAAGGTGAAATTCTTCAAAACCTTCAGTTTTTGATCATTGCCAAAGTCTCCAATCAAACACTACCATAAACGCACGTCACCTTATAGGGGCCGGCACCATGTTTTTGTTTACGGATTGAAAACCGAACGTGAGTTTTGCGAATTTTTGCGTGTTCTGTGAGATCACTGTGGTATGGGTGGGGTGGAGCGGGGTGCAATCCAAGCAAAAGATTTTGAGAGTGAAAGCTTTCGATTGAATTTCACGATTGTGTGTGGGACAAAGGCAAGCACTTGTTTGCTTAGATGTTTGCTTAGACGGAGCAAAGTGTTTCCCGGACTGGCAGCAGCTCACAAGTCGACACACATGGCATGTTCTCATTGCGAAAATGAATTTGTCGGAAAAACAAACAGCATGCTGGAAGATCGTTCTTAATTCACACTGGTACCACCGATGCGTGCTGGGGAAGGTTTAAAAAACAAATACCCTCTTAGTTGCCAACGTGCAAAAAAGACCAAGACAGTTTGAATGGGCTGATATGGAAATATATTCGCTCATGGCAATGGCGATGGGCATCAAATGTTGTAGGATTTACCCTTGAAAAAAACAATAGGTGCCTACTTCTCCAATATCTGAAAATCACCGGCCAAAAGCGCTGGTGCTGTTGTTTCGGGCACATGGGCTCCCCAAATGAATCATTTTGTACACTGCATTACAATAAATATTGAAAAACACTCGAGGACAAAATAATGAAAAAACACTGCAAATACATGATTGATATGATCCCAGTTGCTCAAACTTCCCGAATTTGCACATTCAATTTCCAGCCCGGCTGGATGTGTTTGGTTTCTTTTTGTGACGCACCCATGATTTGGGTAATAATAACAATAGTGTACAGTGTTATTTCGAAGTAGTGTAGTGTGTAGAAGTGTCTGTGGGCCTTGAAGTTTTACACCAAAAACTCATGTTCATGTACCTGAAACGTTCACTTTTTCTGCGATAAACTCTGCCTTGACTCCAACCACTTGTAGGCCTAAGTAGGCCTTATACAAATAATCCCAGTCTTACCAGTGTGTGCAATGCCTCAGAATTTCTGTGTGGATCCACCAGAAATTTCCCTGAACTTTTCCAAGCCCCACACGTCCCAGGCGGAGACTGCTTCCATTCCCAATTGCAGAGCCATCCTTGGCGCAGAATTCTGTTTGGAAGATGAATGTCTTCAAATCATCCGTGGTGGAAACGTGCTCAAGACTCCTTTAGACTTTTGACTTTACATTTGTGGACATGAATTGGCTTAGTTACTGTTTTCTTAGGACCTGTGCTAACCAAGCCTCTTGCTCCCATTGTGATCCAGCGCGGCAAGTGTTGATTGCCGCATTTAGTCCTGCATTCCAGCGGTCCAATAAAAAAGATACATTCCCATGATTGTGGCAAGTGCATCTATTTCCCTGCACACCAAGTCGCAGTTTTGAGTTTCCCGCTCCTTTGGTCTCCTGCAAAAAACCATTCTTCGCGATCAGGAGCAAACCCTGTTCCTTCAAAGCTGGAAGCAAAACAGCACATGTTGAATTTTATATGTATCAACCGCAAGATGTGGGACTCCAATTTTCGAGCATTCAAACTGTACCAAAAAAAAATTGTCAGTCACTCTGGGTTTCAAACCCAAAGTTTTTGCCTGGAAGTGATACGGCACGGATTCTACTCCTAACATAAGAGCAGCATCCTGATCTGAAGCAAAGTTGGGACTTAATTGGCCTGGAAAGAGCCGCAGCGCAAATGGCAGCTTCCTGCGAGCCAGACTTTAGTAGTTGGGACCCTCACAACAAGAGGCTGGTCTATTGTGATATGGGTACATTCAGCACAGCAAGCAAGTTCCGAACAGTGGCAATGTTTCTGAATCCAACGGACCTTTCAAAACTGGCAACTGAAAATATCACAAAACAGAGGTTTTGGAGTCTGGATCACCCTGTTGATACCAAGTGTTCACTGAGATTACGCACAAAAAGTTGCTGTGTTTCAATTTTTTTGGGGGGGCGGGGACATTCGGATTTTTCCCACCACTTGAATCAGTTCAGCACCTGGCTTTCTCGCAAGGGACCATCACGAAGAAGCAGCTGCACCTGTCAAATTCCACCATTTTTTTGTGTTTCAGTGACCACAATCACGCAGCACCGATATTACTGTTCGTGAAACATCTAACAGTTCAGTTGAGACGGGCACAAAAACATGGAAAATTTTGATGAATTGCAAAAAGATCTTAGAGGGGAACAGAATCCACAACGGCATGGCGACGTTTTGACCTGCCCGAGTTCCAAAGGCGAGAAATGTTTTGCTGTACTGTATAGCATACCATGAAACGACATCGGTTTTGCTACGCACAAAAATGAAGATGTTTCGGACAATTGATTAACAGTGATTTGAACACACATCAACCTTTTTACAAATGGCACTGCAACAACATCAATCGATATCATTGAACGCGACTTCGGCCTGTCACGCACATCTGCCAACCTACAGTAAACGTGAACATTGTCGTGCCAAACCGGGAATTTTTGGCATCAAAATTTACGCAATGTCAAAATCACGTGATCCCCATCGTTTGAAGAATCAAACTAAGTTGAATGATCGTCGTTGAACAAAAATATTGATCGTACGGTCCAAGTTTGTGACAAGGATTCCCTGCTCACAGAAAATTTTCGCGACGATGCCTCACATTCATGACAATTTGTTTCACGCCATTTCACATTTGACATTTTTGATCTACAATCATTTTGGACATGTCTCAATTGTCATGAATGTCGTCACGTTTTGCTGTCGCAAACACATATCGTCACGCTTTGCTGTCCCAAACACATGTCCAAAACATGTCATATGTGCACAAAGCGCGGTCATGCAAAAATCAGTGGTGCAGGATGCCTTTGTGCAAAATATTTTCCATGGCAGAATGTTTTTCGGCATTGCAGTGCAGTTTTTGCAATCAACACATTTGCACAATACAAAAAACATGAAACCGCAATACGAAACATTCATAGTGTGTTTGTAGTTGCTTAAATTGTGGGAAATGATGACCGCAATCGTTTGCACTGAAGTAATTGCAATCGTTTGCACTGAAGTAATTGGGCATCATGCGCATGTCTTAAATTGGAATCTGTGCAAGCCTGGAAACAGCAGCAATAAAAACACTATGGTTTTCAACATGCGTCAGAGACAACACATGAAATTGAATTTGATTTCATTATTTCGTACATGCCGATTGCTGGTTGGCAAGAACACGAACACATGGAAAACAAGAAACGGCATTTTGTCACCAGCACAAAAATAAATTTAAGTACAGTAAAACAACAATAAATGTGATTGGACTAGTATTGCCAAACATTTTTTTATGATGAAATATCAGCTGTGAAAATGAAATTGCCGTGGTCTCCCATGTCATGATTTGTTCTGCGTGGCAACAAAAAATAACAGAACATAATGATACACCAAACAAAAAGCAAACGTAATGGATCTTATTCGTCAACTTCAATGAAGGCATGTTGAAGCAGGGTGTCTCTTTTTCCAACCCGTTTGCAAGCCCGTGAAAAAAACGAGTACCACGCCCGCCCTTGATTGAAATTGCAGTGCATGAAGAAGGATGAGAATGCGCATGCCCACAAACTTTGTTTGTTGCTCATTTCTGTTTGACTGTTAGACCACTCCGTGAACGTCACCATGGTGATAAATTTGGGCCACCACGATACAAATCAGCCAAGCGTATTGCTAACAAACCTACATGAGACACGGAATGTAAAGTTGTTTTTTGGTCAGTGCACGGACCGTTTAATGTGGTTTCAAGAGTTTGATGTTCTGGGGGTGGGCGGCGTTTCCTTTTGAGGATAATGTTCGGCATAGTTGTCAAAAAAATGGTGCTACAAAAAATCGGTTTTACAATGGCCAGTCTTGGCATCTATATATATATGTTTTCTATGCGGGGTTTTGTTGCATCATGGGTTTGGTGGATGTTTCTGACTGAATTTTCACTCTGACAACCGTTTTTTTCACGGAAACAAACACGCATAGAACCACTGGGCTGCATAGATGCCATACCAATGCACGCGGCACGACCCCATGGTTCAAATCCTTGTTTTGGGTCCAAAGCATGTGCTGTTCAATTGTTGAACTGCATGCCATGGATCGCAAAGTTCGCAAACGTTTCATGTTTTGTTTCTGCGTACCACCCGCTGCGGGATAATCATGAGATTCAACTTGGTTGCAGGTGGTTTCTCCACGTCTTCGGTTTCTACGGAAGTTTCCGATGGAGTCACTCATAGCAAGGTTCTTGAAAGACAACTGGATTGCGAGTTGTTGCCCGGCACAAAAACTGTTTCTAAGAAGAATTCCAAAAATAATTGCGAGGCTGATGAAACTACGTGCATGTGCTATTTGCTTGGGGCCAAATCCATCTTATTTTTTTGGAACCAATGAATGTCCCCATTCAATGGGCAAATGATTACTGGCTCTGAAGGGGACAGGGCGCTTTTCCTCGCTTGAACATACAAATGCCTTGAAATGTCAGATGTGCAATTGCTCGGATACTACACTTGATCATAGCCGACGCATGGTTTCCTGGTCCCCGCTTCTTTCAGGAAGAAAAAACGAATGATCAAAAAGATCTGCATCACTGGCCCAAGGCATGTATACGCGCTTGACGCCAGCAGCACGAAAGTTCCACTATTGGCACGCATTTTCTCCGTGCCCCAATGTCCGCTATGGTCCTCTTGCTGAAAACTGTTCCACGGATTCTCCTGTGAAGCGCTATCCCTCTCAGTCGCAGCCGTATGCTCACCAGTGCTGCCCGACTGTGAAGACGTGCCTTTGGAAGTAAGCCAGACGCTGCAGCTGCAATGCCAAAGCCCAACCATGAAATCAAATTCATTGAGGCGGCGGCATGCAAGCCTGATCGTGAACTGTACTTGTGGGTGATGTTGGAGCCCCTGCTCATCTGAATCGCCACCAGAGCTCGAACATGATGAAATACCCTTGGATGAAGTCAGAGCCCCATACATGTTGAAAGCACTGCCAAGGTCCGAACGTGATGAAATACTGAGATAAAGAGACACGATCACCAGCACCTTTGCCAGAGCCCTGTGCGCCACTGGACCGACTGTGTTATCCTTGACATAGATGAAGACGCTCTATGCTTGTTTCCAATCGTATCAAACATCGGTTCAGTCGTTCACTCCTCATCACTATCAGACTGCTCCTGCTCAGCATTTGTTTCTCCTAATAGGCTGCGCGTGAAAACAAAGTAAATGCAAACTGAAAACCATCACAACGCAAACGGCAGTGCAATCACACACGAGCAACCTTTTCAGCTGCAAAGATGGAGAAGTGCCATTTCGTTTAGAAACAGATGCGTAACAGCATTGAAAGAACGGAATTTAGTTCGTAAAAGAAGACTGTAGCCAATTTGGCAAGGGATGAAAAGGGGAAATAAAAACCCCGAAGAGAAAACAGAAGATAAAACTCCAAAAGATATGGCGAAGAACGCTTTCATAACAGAAACGAGACAAGGGTGGCAGAGGGCATAACAGAAACGAGACAAGGGTGGCAGAGGGCGGATCCTAGAAAACTTAGCCATTCTGCACGGAAATAAAACCCCTGGAATCAAAAGTGAGCAAAACTGACACAGAAAATGACATCACATGAAACAACTGACATCACCAGCACAGCTGTGAGAAACTGAAGTGACATCTGAACGGTTGTTTCTGTTGAGCCACGCACAAAACCCAATTTGTTTAAGGAAACGTCCACGCATTGCTCTAAACGACGTCACGTCACTTACCCCTACTACAACGAGTGGGTGAGTAAAACCGCGATACGAAACGCAAAGAGTGGAAGGTAAGGCACAGAGCATACGTCAGGGAGGGTAACAACTTACCCACCCACCAAAGGTTTCTTAGAAACAATCCCGTTACTCTTCACTTCCCAACTGGTTTTTGCTTCTTCAAAACCCAATCGCCGTGCGTGAAAACAAAGGTAAATGCAAACTGAAAACCATCACAACGTGAGCGACGTGCCATTTTCGTTTTGAAGCAGATGCGTAACAGCATTGGCATAACTGAACTTGTAAAAGAAGATTGTAGCCATTTTGGCAATGGATGAGAAGGGGAAATAAAACCCCCCTAGTCAATGAGACTTTCATCTCCATTCAAAATTGCTAAATTTGGAACTTTCTTCTGTCATCTTTGCAGCGGCTGCCTCCAACATAAAAGATATACTCTGATAGTGGCTCTCTTTCTTTTGGAGACGGTTTGAAGAACATCAGAAGACTGATCATTGGGAACGTCAAGTCATCCCAAGATACCTGATTTTTTTTGCTCAAATCAAACCTATCGAACATTTGGCTGGTGAGATCATCCGCCGATCATCCGCCTCAACATTAACATCACGGGCTTCCGAAGCTTGCTGAGGCCAATTGCCCCGTAGCACGATTGTCCCCATTTGCTTTCTGATCTGGCCCGCAAAGGCCTCGACCTTGAAGACTTTGTTGCACCACCAATGACGCCTGTTCCCCCCTGAAAAGCCAGGGTGCCTGATGTGGAAAGACTCTCGCCAGGTCGTTAAGCAAGCCGGAAAGCCAGTTTCATATTTCAAATTCAGCGAATTAATGCAATAGCAACATCATAAAATCGACAATGTGCACCAAAAGTAGAACTGAGAAGGATCGATACATAATCCATTGAGCTGTCACCATCGAGGACAAGAAACCAACCAAAAGAAAACAAACAAGAAACACAACGCAAAAGCAAAACAGAACCAACACACACAAACCAAAAACCAAACAAGACACAACCCAAAAAAAAAACACGGCCGGTGATCAGCTAGTCAGTTCATAGTCATCTGAAACGTATCAGGAGATGATAACATTGTATCACCTTTGGGATTGGTGTGGCAAAGGAAAACAAGAGCGAACAAACAAAAACACGAAAATGCCATACAGCAATCTATGAGCCAGGAAGCAACAAAGGCACAATGCGGAAACCGAGGCTCCCCCCAGCCAGGAGCCTCGAGATCACAGAGTGCTAGCCGCGTGGGCAATATTCTCACCTCACGCAAGGAATCTTTCCGCAGTCCTGCAATAAATTGCTGCCGAATAAAGATGTAAACCGTCGCAGCACCAGGGCTCCAGCAGTTCCGGGATTCCAGCTTGTCTGTCCTATTGCATTTCTCTGGTCAGGTTGGTGTGGTTGTTCTGCCTCTTTTTGCCCTATGCACGGCTTGCTGTGGGTTGTGCTCCCGTAGCATCC